CCCCGCCAAAAACGAAATCGGCAGAATTAGCAAAGTTATACTTTCTAATATAAACTCTGAACTTGTCAATAAACTTCACCTCAATCAATGGAAAAAAACACAAGATACCACAAACTGGTTTAATTGCATCAGAAATAAACACCTTTGTAAATTCCTTGTTTTTGACATTGTTGATTTTTACCCATCAATAACAGAAAAATTACTCAACAATGCTATCCATTTCGCTGAACAACATCTAAATATTGAACCTAACCATAAATCATTGATCTATCACGCAAGGAAGTCATTACTATATAATGATGATCAAGTTTGGATTAAAAAATCAGGCGGTTTATTCGATGTTTCAATGGGAGCATTTGACGGAGCTGAAGTTTGTGAACTCGTGGGAATTTATCTATTGTCTCAAGTTGCACAGGTTTATAATAAAAATGATTTCGGACTATACCGCGATGACGGCTTAGCAGTTTTTAAAAACATGAGTGGCCCCCAAATGGAAAAAATTAAAAAACATCTTGTTGAAATATTTAAAAAAAACGAACTCAATATATCAATACAATGCAACATGAAAATTGTAAATTACCTCGACGTCACATTAAATCTAAATGACCATACTTTCCAACCATATTCTAAGCCCGGAAATTCTTTAAATTATATTCACACTGATTCAAACCACCCGCCAAATATTTTAAAACAGCTTCCGCATTCAATTGAGTTAAGATTGTCTGCAAATTCCTCAAGTGAAGAAATTTTCCAAAGATCTACCCCTGCATACAATGACGCACTGTTAAAGTCCGGTTTTAATCATAAACTTTCATACCACCCTAATTTAAATTCACCTTATACAAAAAACCGTAAACGCAACATCATTTGGTTTAACCCACCTTTCAGCAAAAATGTAAGCACTAACATAGGAAAAAGCTTCTTAACTTTAGTCAACAAACACTTTCCAATAAACCACAAGTTCCACAAAATCTTCAACAGAAACACCATAAAAGTAAGTTATAGCTGTATGCCGAACATGAAATCTATCCTAAATGCACACAATCGACAAATTATGAACAACAAAAAAGATCTACCTAAAACCAATTGCAACTGCCTTAATAAAAGCACCTGCCCTCTATCAAACCAATGCTTAACAAAAAACATTGTATACCAAGCTAAAATAAGTTCAACTAATCCTACTACCAATCCTGTCATCAAACTATACATCGGTATAAGCGAAACACCATTCAAAATTAGATATGCCAACCATGTAAAATCTTTTACCATTCAAAAATACAAAAATGACACTGAACTATCAAAAGAATTTTGGAAACTGAAAGATGCAAATTTAAATCCAGTTATTAAATGGAAAATAATTAGGCAGTGCAATGCTTACAACCCAACCATGAAGTCTTGCAAACTGTGTATAAATGAAAAATATCAAATTCTGTTTTCCAAAAATAAAAATCTAATTAACAAAAAAAGTGAAATGATATCCAAATGCAGGCATCGAAACAAGTTTCTTCTCGCCCACTTCGACACGGCTGATTAAACAATTTTCTAATATATATATATATATATATATATATATATATATATATATATATATATATATATATATATATATATATATATATATATACATATCTCAAAGCTTGAGTATTTAATCATATTTAATTTTATTGCTATCTTACAATCATTGAACAATACATACATTCATAAATATTCTTTTGGAAACCTATGTTCAAATTCTTATGTCACAAAAAACTCTCTTAAAAAAACTCTTAATAAGAAGCTCTTACAAAGAACATCGTTTCGTAAATTTAAACGATTTTGTATAATATAGCACTTTTATTTTTTATAACGTTTTTTAATATACTTGATAACAACAACAACAATAATAACAATATATTTCGTGTTATAATGTACATTTATATATGCACATATACTTAAACAAGAATTATAATAAAATAAGTAAGTTATAATAAAAATAATTATTTAAAATAAAATATTAAAAATAAAATTAAAATAAAATAATAAACTATAATAAAAATAAGTCAAAAGATAGAAAGTAAAAAATTAAAAACTAAAGTTAAGCTAGGTACGCGCACTGAAATTTTTAAATTGATCAGATAGTAGAATGTTATATATCATTAGAAAGGCCTTCAATACAGTATTTTAAAGGTGAAAAAATTATTAAAAACAATTCTAAAAAAAGTTATAACATTTTTAGTACCAAACTTAAGATATATGGAGTTGTTGAAGAAACTGTGGTCAAAATAATTATTTTTTAAATAAAGGGAGTCCAATGCACCACCTCTACCCCCTCCCCCCACCTGACAAAAAATAACGTCATATTTATTTCAATAATCAAATGTATTGTTAAAAAGGAAAAACAATCTTTTATAACTATACAACATACATTAGTATTGAAAATATTGTTGTATTACAAGCAATATTTTTTTTATTTTTTTATTTTTTTTATTTTTTTTTAATTATCTTCGCTTCCAACAAGGTTGCAAGCAACCACTTATTAGTGTTGGAAGTTACTGGAAGAGAAAAGATGAAGATTGTAGAGCAAGATAACGATTGACAGACGACTTAAAATATTGCAAATTATATGAATCAGGAAAGCAAGATAAAGGAAGCGAATTCCAAAGAACTGATGTTCAAGGAAAAAAACTAGACGAATAAGAGTTTTTAAAGCACTTAGGAACAGTCACAGAAAAAGGATGAGACTTAATTGAATGGCGAGTAACACGAGAATGAATTTTAGTAGATGGCACAAGAGACGCTAGCTCTTTAGAGCAGTGTCCATTATAGTACTTGTAGAAAAGAGAAAGAGAAGCAACATTACAATGATGTGACAGAGGTTGAAGGTTGGCTGCAAGAGCAGGTCCAACTATGTTTACAATGCGTTTTTGCACCTTGTCTAAAAGAGAAAGGGCATCATTAGAAGATCCGCCCCAGATATGGCAACAGTATTCCATACAAGGCCGGATTTGAGATTTATAGAGATAGAGAATAGAATCCAGAGTAAGAAAGTGACGAGCTCGATAAAGAGAAGCAACTTTAGCAGATGCTAATTTTGCAACGGATTTGATATAAGGTTTCCAAGAAAGATCAGAAGTAAGAGTTAATCCTAGAAGATGAAGGGTAGGAGACTCATTGAGTACATTACCGTTCATAAATATAGGAAGGTCTAAATTATTGCGATAACGATTGGCCGAAAAAAATTGAGTTTTATCTGAATTAAAGTTCACCAGCCACTGCAAGCCCCATGCTGTAGCAGAAGTGAGATCCTTTTCGAGCTCAGATGCCCCCTGCAAGCAATCAGAGGGAGTTGGCTTCTTATCGTGACAAGAATAAATGGTAGTATCATCAGCGAACAATGCCACCTTAGATGTGAGAATATCTGGAAGATCGTTAATGTAAATTAAAAAGAGTATAAGGCCAAGGATTGAACCTTGGGGAATCCCTGAGGTTACAGAATAAGAAGAAGAGTGCTGTCCATCAAGGACAACTTTTATACTACGATTGGAAAGGAAAGATTCAATAATCTTAAAGATGTTTCCAGATACACCATAAGAAGAAAGCTTATGGAGGAGACCAGCATGCCAAACTTTATCAAACGCTTTAGAAATGTCAAGAGCAATGGCCTTAACCTCTCCACCTTTATCTAATGCGCGATAAAACCTATCGGTTATTACTGATAGCAAATCAGCCGTAGAACGAGAAGATCGAAATCCATACTGATGATCAGAAAGTAGGTTATGAGATTCGAGATTCGAGATTAAGTGTTTGTTAATTAAAGATTCAAAAACCTTGCTTATGATAGGAAGAAGACTAATGGGACGGTAGTTAGATGAGTCAGATTGCTCTCCAGAATTTTTAAAAATAGGGATAACAGATGCTGCTTTCCAGCAGGCTGGAAAACAAGACTCTGATAAACACTTGTTGAATAGTTTTGAAAAGATAGACGACAGCTCAGGAGAACACTTCTGCAAGACTATAACAGGTATGTTGTCCGGGCCGCAAGCTGTAGAAGAGTCTAAGCGGGAAATCACTTTAGATACAGAAGCTGGAGTGATACGAATATCGAGCAATGGATCAACCTGTTTGACGGGTATATCAGGTAAAACGCAACTTGTGGCATCAAGAGATGATATTGATGAAAAGTTCTTGGCAAACAATTCAGCTTTGTCTTTAGGTGAGGTGACAAAGTCTGAACCGTACAAAAAAGGTGGAATTACAGACTTGCCCTTATTATTGATACTATTAAAGATTCTCCAGAAGTCATGAGAGCCTAATTTTTGTGATGAAATTCGAGATTTCATGATCTGAGAATAGCGGGTTTTGGCGTTAGACAAAACCTTTTTACAATGGTTCCTAGCAGTAATAAAGAGACGTCTGTTTTCTGGAGAATTGTTTTGCTGATAGATATGGAAGTAATGGTTTCGATTGGCAATTGCAGCAGCACAATGTGAAAAAAACCATGGAGAAGAGTGAGGCTTGACCTGGAATCGTCGAGAGGGAATAAAGGATTCCATGCCAGCCTGAATCCACGAAGTTATGTAAGAAGCACATTTGTCAACAGGAAGACGAAAGATTTCTACCCAGGTGCCATCACGAAGAAAGTCACGAAAAGAGTCCCAGTCAGCTTTAAGGTAGTTGTAAGATGTACGATGATAGGGGGATTCTAATGGTGAAGAAGAATGAGATAATAGTTTTAGAGAGACCAAACCATGATCAGACGCACCTAAGGGTGATTGTGAAGAAACTGAGCACTGACTAGGATCAGAAACAAGACATAAGTCGAGTAGAGAAGGTAAATGATTCGGGTTGTCTGAAAAGCGAGTTGGAAAGTTGACTATTTGAGTTAGGGATTGAGAAAGACAAAAGTTGTGGGCCTTAATGCCTGCAGAGTCACTGACACTAGAGCCAAGTCATTCAGTGTGATGAACATTAAAGTCACCAACAACAGCAATATTGGCTGATGGATAAAGAATGAGGGCTTGGTCAATATAATCAGAAATAACATCAAGAAGAGTGCAGTCTTGGGATGAGAGAGAGCGATATAGAACAAAGAGAAAGGTGATAGAGTGAAGTTTTACTATAGAACATACATTAGTGATGTACAATTTGAGGAGAAAGATGGTTTTCCCCCTTCCCCTTAACCAACGTAATAAAGAAAATACATAGAAATGATATTTTCAACATTTTTACATGGAATTATTAAAAAGAGAAAGCACAATACAGAATTGCTTTACCAGATTGCACGAGTATTCATTTTCTCGAGTTTACATGTATTCAGTTGCACGAGTATACATTTTCTCATTTAAATGATCATATTTAACCAACCAACCTAATAAAAAACAAACAAAAAAAAAACAAATGTTTTAAAACATAGTAATTAATTTATGTCTTGGCTTTTAGTAAATGATTTTAAATTTAAGTTCCAATGCAACTAAATAAATCATTTTTAACAATAGACACCATGTGAAGGTAAGCCAGAGCCGTCTACCTTTTTTTTTGCAAGCCTCAAAACTTGCGGTTTTTGATTCTCCTTTTTTAGCACTTGGAGAGATAACAAAACACAAAAGTATTAAATAGATTATATAAATAGGAATAAAAGAACTCAATAATCAATCTGAGACATTCCAGATTCATAAATTTACCATTTGAAGGTGGTGCAGATGGAACTAAAAGTAAAATTTGTTTTTAAATAAAAAATAAAAACTGGCAATTAATGCATTTATAGTCTAAAAATTGTTAATTCTTAAACTTACTTGACGTAACAGCTGAAGATGTAACTATAAGAAAAGAAAAGAAAGTTTTCATCAAAAACCAGTTAATAAGAAATGCAATTGCAAAAAAGAAAATTCAAAAAAGAATATGCTGTTGATAAGAAATGCATACCCATGTTAAAAGAAAAAAGTTTTTGAAACTTACCAGGCGTAGCACATGTAGAAATAACTAAAGGTAAAAAATATCTTATTAAAATCAATATTACAATCAATGATAACTTTATGCGTATTAAAAATAGTTGTTTAACTTACCAGGTGTAGCACAAGAGGTAGATACTAAAATTACAAAGTTGTAACAAAAAATCAATATTGCAAATAACAAGAAATGCATATACATATTAAATGTAATAGTTTATTAAATTACTAGTTGCAGCAGATGACTAAGGAACTAAAGTTAAACATATTATAAAGTTTGCATTTTAAAAACTAATAGTTGTTTAACTTACCAGGTGTAGCACAAGAGGTAGATACTAAAATTACAAAGTTATAACAAAAAATCAATATTGCAAATAACGAGAAATGCATACACATATTAAACTTATAACTTTTTTAAATTACTAGTTGCAGCAGCTGACTAACGAATTAAAGTTAAACATGTGGTAAAGTTTGCACATTAAAAATTAAGAGTTCTGTAACTTACTAGGTGTAGCACATGAGTTAGATACTAAAATTAAAAAATTAATATTGCAGCAAATGGGAAATCCATACACAACAAGTAATAAATAAATAAGTAAGAAATACATATTTATTTATATTTCTTTAATAGTTAATTAAAGTTATTCTATAACAACTTACAAGCTGTAGTCTGTGCAAATTGGCCTAAAGATAACAAAAAAGTTATATAATTAAAAAGAAAAAACATCTTGAAATTGTCAACAGTCAATAAAAGTAACAGTTATCAAATCAGTTCTGCTTTACGTACAACAACCTTTCTAACAAAAAAAAAATTAATAAAAAAAAATAATAAAAAATATAAATTATATTACTGTATTTTAAAATTATATTACTGTATATTAGAAAAACACTAACAAGATACTTTTATAAGAATAAACTTATTATTGTAAAAGTATCTTTATATTTTTACAAAAATAAGCTTATTTATGTAAAAATATCAATAATAGTATTCTTTTAAAATATCAATAACAATATTATTCTAAAAATATCAATAAAATCATAATATTATTCTAAAAAAATAATGTTATTCTAAAAATATCAATAATAATATTATTCTAAAAATATTTTGTCAAAAACTGTATTGGCTTAAGCCAATAAAGTTTTACTTTAAAGTATAGTAATGTCATTTGTATATTTTTATATATGTGGTGTATTCACAACATTGGCATCTGATACTATTAGCTAATAAAATATTCCAAAGTTACGGTTTAATCTTAAATCCTAATCTTTTTTAATTATCATTGGTATAACTTATACCAAAGATTAAGGTTTCTAAACTTATACTATAAGTTTAAAAACCTTAATCTTTGTTTACATATCATGTAATACTATTAAATGATATGTAAACAAAGATTAAGGTTTTTAAACTTATAACTTTTTTAAAAAACAAAAAAATAATGATAAGTTTAAAAACCTTAATCTTTGTTTACATTATGATGATGTAAACAAAGATTAAGGTTTTTTAACTTATCATTATTGTTTTGTTTTTTAAAAAAGTTATTATTACCATGAAAAACTAATTAACTTACTTTTTGAAGTCTTCTTTGTCATGACTTTTGCCATTTTTATTTATTAAAAATCTAATATTAAAAATTAAATAATACAATGTAGTAATAATTTTTTTGTTTTCCATTCGCCACCCCCCTATCCTCCCCGTATTTCTCTTACCGATAAAACGAAAACAAAAAAAAAAAACCGAATTTAGGTACCAAAAGTCCTACACTTCTTATACTATCTGCTCCCTAATATTTTTGGCTGAAATTTGGCATGTACAAAGAAAATACACGCAAAAAAGTGCCTGAATAACAAAAAAAGCGGAAACTTCATTCCTTCGATAACAACTTAATGTGAGAACATCAACGAAAGTTTTTAGCAAAACTAACCATAAAAAAGTTTGGTGGTTATACATAAAAGTACTATAAAAATCAAGCCTAACCTTTCTTCTTTCTAAATATAATTTTTGTTTATATATGTTTCTAAAAAAAAACACCACTAAAAACGTTTGTCTAACTCTACCTCAAAAAAGCAGTATATTTAATAAAGCACCTCTTAACATATCTGCTCCCTATTATTTTTCGTTGAAATTTGGCACATAAATAAAAAATACATGTATAAAGGTGCCTGAACAATCAAAAAAGCGGAAACTTCATGCCTTTGACTACAAATTTATGTGAAAACATCAACCAAATATTCAGGAGCAAAATAATCCGTTAAAAAGTTTAGTAACCATACATAAAAGTTTAAAAAAAATAAAGATCAGCTTCTCTTCTTTCCAAAAAGAAGAGAAGCTGATCTATGTGTATATATGTTTCTAAAAAGAAACTCCACAAAACTACGTCTACCCCACGCTGCCTAAAAAAAAGTAAAAAAAAACGAGTCACAAAATTTTAGCACAAAAATCGGTTCCGTAAATGACGATATGCGCGTACCTAGTTAAGCGTAATCTTTTAGGTAGAAATGATGGAGTGACTTTAAAAACAGATTCTTGTACCTAAGGATGAAACCTGATTTTAGGGTGTTCGAAAGGAAGTTCCAAGAAAGAATAAACTGGTATGTAATGGAATTAATTCCATGTTTACTTGTCTGCTTTAGTGAGGGAGTTAAGTTGTTATAAGTGACTGATCTTAGGTTATGCCCATATGTTGTTCTATTATTAAAGTAGTTGTGAAATGTAGTAGGAAGGACACCATGTTGTTGATCCCAGACAAATGAACAATTTAAGAACAGAATTAAATCATAGAAACGAAGAATTTTGGATGCAAGATATAGGATGTTGGTAGGAAAATTTCTCGAACAAAAATGAATAATCCGTACCGCTCTATTTTGAAGTGAAACAACTCTAGAGATACGGTTTTAGATTGTCCCCAAACTTGACATGCGTATCGTATATGTGAACCAAAAATTGAGTGATATATAGAGAGCAATGTTTTAAAGTTAACGTAATGTCGAACTTTTGCTAACATGCCGTTGGAACGGCTTAACTTTAGAGTAAGGTCGGATATGTGTGTTTTGAATGAAAGTTTTTCATCTAACACAACACCAAGATAAGTTATGTTTTTTAGAAAAGTTAATATTTCAAGTCTTAAATATAATTATTTCTGGTTTTTTAGTATTCAATGAGATTTTATTTGCACTAAGCCATTGAACAAGACTGGCCATATCCTGATTAATATATATATATTAAGTTTTTTGAGAGTTTGTTTTTAATTGAAGATTAATATCATCAGCAAAATGATACGTTTTTGAATGTTTGATAGAGAGATTGAGATCATTAATATAGATAATAAAGAGAAGAGGGCCTTATATGGATCCTTGAGGTATACCAATTGAAACATTTTTAATATCTGATCTGGTTCCATTTATAATTACAAACTGTTGACGATCAGAAAGGTATGATTTGAATCACTGCAAGGATATGCCACGTACACCATAATAGTTAAGCTTTGAGAGAAGAATTTCATGGTCTACGGTGTCAAAAGCTTTTTGCAAATCGATAAAAACCCCACAAGCAAAGTTGCGATTATCAAGAGCAACTCTTATACTTTCTGTAATTTCAATAAGAGCGTGAGCTGTCGAATACTTTTTACGAAAACCAAACTTGTGTTTATATAAGCATTGATTTTGGTTTAGAAATTTGTATAGTTTATTATGCATAACTTTTTCAAATATTTTGCTTACATTTGAAAGAAGAGATATTGGACGATAGTTAGTGCAGTCAATTGTAGATCCTTTTTTGTGAATCGGAATAATTTGAGCTAGCTTGAAGGCATCGGGAAATGTTACTTTGCGAAATGAGTTGTTTAAAATGATATTAATTGGTTTACATAGAGTTCCTGATACCAGTTTAAAAAGTTTCACTCCTCCCTTCTATAATAGTGGAATTTATATAATCAAGAGTTTCCTCTTTCGTTTTTGGTTGCATATAAAAAGAGTTTTTTTTTTAATCATTTTATCATTATACTCAAAAAGTATAATGATAAAATGATAAAAAAAGTACAATTAAGACTGGTAAAAATTTACCATAAAAATTACTTAGTCGGTGATCTTCAAAACTCCGACCTAAAAGGGCCCTAAAATTGCTTCAAAAAGAGCCTAAAATATAGTTAATTCGGGTCAGTATAAGACAACGTAAAAGATGAAACAAATTTTTTCAATCCTCTTTGGAGACAGTTATAGCGGTTGTCCTTCAGTAACGGTTCCAAAAAATTTTGGTTTGAAGTTGAAGTATTTATATATATATATATATATATATATATATATATATATATATATATATATATATATATATATATATATATATATATATATATATATATATATATATATATATATATATACACTTTTCCATGGTGATGTTTAATTGAGTCATTGCAGACTGGAAAATGACAATTCCGTTGTTGCTATCATAAAAGTTTTTTAAAACTGTTTAGGAAATAGGGGGCTAAGTTCAGTGTTCGCCCCCCCCCCAGTGTTTTAACCAAGGGCTATCGCCCCCTCCGCCTTTCCTGTTCCTACGTCAGTGGTTGTCTGTTTTCTCTTCTTAAATTTTGTCCTGTTTGAAAAACGTTTATTTAATTCATTAAAAGGAATAATGAATTGGTAGTCAAACATAAATTTATTGCTATTATGAAATACATCTTCAGGGTGGAGACTCTACCTTTGCTAATCTAAAATAATCCTCATAGTTTCATGTTCTGCAAAATACTGTATTAAATGATAGGAACTAACATTCATGATAACTTTACCGAATAGCGAAGTTTAATTACCATTAATTTTGTGAAACTCGTGTTTTTAAGTTATGTAGATCATTTTTCATAGTGAAATACTGATTATAATGTACTATAACATCATTTAAAGTAAAATATTGCTATAGAAACTAAAAATTATAGAGAATTCTTGATTGCTTCATTTTTAGGTTATTTTTCTATGATTAATAAACTGTACTGTTATATTAATAGTTGTTACAACTTGTTTATTTATTTTATTATCGATAAGCTATCTGCAAATAAGCATAAGAGTTGGGTGGCTATGCAATATAATAAGATTTTGTATATTTATAAAGTATAGTTTAGTATAGCTACCTGATATAGTTATCGAGTTAAATTTTATCACTTGGTTTATTCTAAAATAAATCCGTGTTTACTCAATAACTGAGAAATGTTGCGCGTTTTTTAGTAAAACATCCAAGTATAGTTGTGCAATTTAATAGTTTGTTTCACTATTCAGGTTGATGCAGTGACGGATTTAGCATAGAGTATGAGGATGGGGGGGGGCGCGCTGGAAAGAAGGTTTGTGGGCTGCTGCTGGTTGGAAACCTACTCACGCCGGCCCTACTTTTAAAGACGTGTACGTATCAATATCTCCAGCAATGTCGAATAAACCATAAATGAACCATTCTTAATAGAGAAATAGATGAAATCATGTTTCCTAACTTGTCTGTAATCTACAAATTCAACACGACTTTTCCTTTTACATCTGCTTACGATGAGAGAAGTATCAGTAGACTAAATATTATCAAAACTTATACGTGAACAACAATGACAAAACAATGTTTTTTTGGATTGACATTAATTTTAATCAAATGTAAGCTTGCTTAGAGAATAGATTTTGGATTATCAATAAATCATTTTACTTCAACCCAGTGGGCACAGACACACCTAAGACGTCTATAAAACGCCTTTTAGTAGTCAGAAGTCCGTATGATGTTCTTAAGAAGTCCAACAAACGTTTTGTACACCATAGAATTGAAATGTCGCAGAAAAAAATTTGTATAAACTAACAGGAAAGTAAACTTTTTTCTTAATGCTTGCTTTTGTTAATAGGTTTATTCATTCATGGTCAAAAATAAATTATAAAAAATATAATATGTATAGTGTAAATGTATCTTTATATAATTAAATAGTAAATGTATCTTTATTATAATAACCAATTATTGCAATTATATTAAATGTTTCTTTTTTTTTAAAGATTAATGTTAATCAAAGTAAACTTAGTAAACTCAAACCTTAGATTGTTTAGTGTCTTAGACGAACTTAAAAGTTATGAAAAATTGCACATAAAAGCATCAATAAAATATATTTATCACAAGTGCAATTCTCAAAAAATATTTTCTATGTAATAATGTGCCACCCCCAACCCCTGTTGTCTCCTACTCATTTCCCTGCCTTCCCCCTCCCCTCCAACGACGCTCAATCCGACACTTGGTTGATGACATCGTTGCGTCAATGTTTTGTAATAGCGTCATCGTTGCGTCAGTGTTTTGTGAATAGAATGCGTAACAATAATTGTTTCAAATAGAGAAAATTTGGAACTATAAAAAAGATGAAATTAAATGTCAAATCTCAACACCAATTTCAAGAGACACAAGATTATATTTCTAGCAACTTTAATAAAGGTGAAAATATCTTGAAAAAACTAAAATAAACTTTTTATTGGCATATAAGTGTAATATTTTTTATTTAATTCACGCTGCATATAGTTTTTAAAGTATGATTTAAAGGATTCCCAGAATATACAAATTTAATTTTACAAAACTTAGTATAACATGTATAAGTTAATATTGCAAAAATATTACGAAATTATTTGAATAAATATTTCAATTTTATTATTGTTATTTTATTTATTTTATTGCAAATGGCAGCCTACAAATTTATTTTTTGCAAATGGTTGACTACAGTTATATACATATTTTAAGTTTATTTATTTTAAAAAATTTTTTTGCTTTAAAATTAACATCGATGTAAAGTTTTATAATTTTTTTGAAAAACATGTTTTACACAGCTCATCTTAAAACATCTTTATTGTTTTAATAAAAGAAAAGACCTACAGTTATCAGTTGGTGTAAAAAAAATCTATCAAGCTATGTTAGTTTTAATATCTTTCAACCATTACCATTCAAAGTTTGTTCTTTTTTTATTACATGCAGTCTTGTTGCAAGTGACGATGTTTAAAAATTTTTTTTTTTAATTTATTAGTTTTTGTACTAAAAAGTCTGGAAATAGTCTATTTCTCGACTTTTTTAAATATAAATTTGGTTGGCTATTATAAACAAATAACAAAACATATTTTAAAAAAAATAGTATTTAAGTTAATTCTTTTAAATATAATATGGAGCAAAATAAACAAAATTGATCTATTTTTTTTTCTTTCAAATTTTAATGCATCGCCACGGCCAAACAAAAAAAATTAGTTTAAAATTTTCTAAATGTCTCAATGTGTCTGCCATACAAAAAAAATGTGAAAAAAGGAGAATTTTGTCAAACTCAGTTTGTGACTTCCTGGTTCTTACAGCCGACGACTCTTTATTAGAAATTTAAGTTTTAAAAAAACCAGCTTAAGTCGTTAGGCCATTACTCACGTCGCGTGCTATTAGTAGAAAATGCTCACCGGCTAATTCAAGTTTTTTTTAAATGCTTCAACGGCTCGTTTTCAAACTCATAAAAATTAATTAATTAAATGAAGTAATTTTACATAATAAACAATTTTATATAAAAAAAATATTATAAATCCTCCAAAAGAACATTTTTATTTAAAAAAGATAATTTAATATTGAAAAAACAAATAATTGTATATAAATTAACAACGTCACAAAAACTATTTATTGTTATTTACACAGATTATATTAGGCCAGGTGAATAAAAAAAAGCAATTGCTTTTAAGGAGTAATTGTTCAGCTTTACGTGAACAAAATATTTTAGCAAACTCGCCTAAATTTTTATTCAAATAAAGCTAAGCAATTTACTCCAAAAACGCTGAGTAATTGTTCAGCTTTACGTGAATTAAAATTTGATGAAAATTCATGTTTTTATTTACGTAAAGTTGACAAATTTCTAAGTAAAAGCAATCGTATTTTTTTTTATTTACCCGGCCTATTTGATTCGTGGTTAAAATTAATTTAATAAAAAATACTGTTTTTTTTTTTAAAAGTTACTGTTGCTGTCTTCTACTGGGGCCGTCTCTTTAAACCATTTGCCAACTTTTTCTTCATCATCAAACAAATCATTTTGGTCGTTTTCATTTTCATTTTTATCTGCTAACGTTTCTTTTACTTCTGTTTCTTTTTCTAGAGGTTTCTCTAATGAAGTACGCGTAAAAATTTGGTCATAAATTACTTTTATTCCACAGCTGTCAAGATTCAAAGGATCAACGTATTCGTGTCTATATCGAACAGGGTTAAATCCTATAAGACGCTCTTTAGTTCCAGAAAATCCTTGACGAATGCATTTTTTACATTTAATTTGCCATTCATACCAAATCGCATCTAGCATTGCATGGTGGGACCAAAACTCAGGTGAATATGATGCATATGTGGTTAACATGTGACCGCCTATAAAGTTAAATTGTTCGATTTTAGCAATTTTTTAAAGTTTATTTAGAATTTATTTAAACACCCATAGTGTACGTACACAGTTGAGGAGTAAGAAGTCGGAAAAAAAAGATTTATGAAGGAAGAGCTGGTATTAAGTATAAAACGTAAAAGTATATAACAATTTTTATTTATAACATTTCTAAAAAATTTCAAATAAAAAACTTATTATTTTTAAAACTGTTCGACTATACTTAAATAAAAAATCGAGTAAAAAAAAATTTTTTTTCGTTTAAAGAGTAGTAGGTACGTAACAGTTCCAAGATATTCAATGTGAAAAGTCTATTTGACCATTTCAATGGAGTTTTATTGTATTTTTTTTTAAACGGGCTGAAAGATTGTGATTCAGATCACTTAAAAAGCATTGTACGTATTTGTACCAAGCATTGTACATATATACCCAATTGACAAAATCAGATAAATTGATCCAAAAAAGTAAATTTATATTATTCACATATTTTGAACAGATAGTTTTTAAGTTTTCTCAAACAGTTATGACATTTAAAGAAACTCAGGTGAGCAGGGCCGCCGAGAGCTGTCACGCCACCTGGGACAGCAATCCTGATTGGCGCCCTTATTTATCAAATTTTCCCTCTATTATATATGAAGGACCTTCTTTTTTTTTTATAGGTACCTACATTTCATTTGGCGCCCCTTGGATATCTGCCGCCCGGGACAAACTGTCCCGGTGCCCCCTCCTTGCAGCGGCCCTTTAGGTGAGTACGTAAATTTAAATTAAATTTCTTTATAATTTTTTTACTTAGAAAATTAACATTTGCGCTGCTTTATAATTTCAGCTTGTAGGTTTTTCTTAAAGTTAATAGATTGCTTTCTTAAATCAAAAAAAATCTAAAATAATATATCAATTAAAATAACATTGATTGATAAGTTAAAGTTCCCTAAATTTAAACTTAAATAAAGCCATTTCATAAATTGAGCAAATTGACTAGTTTCGTCGTGGCGCGTCATGTATTATTTTAGTTAAAAAACTGTAGGCATGCCGGGCATTAAGAAATCAGATTATTTTGTTATTTTGCCGGTTATCTGAAACAAACCAGATTTTTTTAGGGCCGTGTACACAAATTGAGATTTTAGTTAACAAATATGAAGATAAAAGAAAGATGGTTGTGATTTGTTTTAGTGATTATATTAAAATATATAATTTGCTTTAATAATTTGATTCAATAACTCATTAACTTTTAAATGAGAAAACTTCTTGCATTATTAAAATTACTATAAATTTTGTAATTTTGCAAAAACTTTAAATCTAAAAATGTTTTATGAATAAAGGTAATTAATATAAAGGCAATGAGTATAAAATTAATTATAAGATTTAAGTATTTAAATTGGTATAAATATTGAAATAAAGGTAATGAGTATAAAATTAGTTATAAGATTTAAGTATTTAAATTAAAAGAAATTAAATATAAATTTCTTTGTTTTTATAAGAAATCAGCATGATAAAAGCATATTCTATAATTTGATGTTTAAAAAATGAGAAGTCACCTGGTTATTAAATACTCTTTGAATCACTGACATTTAGTCGGTTTTAGGATTTATCCCTAATTCGTAAAACCCGTTCCGACAGATTTTTTAGTATAAACTGTTTTGTTATATGAGTAATATTACAAACTGCGATGTTATTCATAAAGTTTTTTATAATAAGAATATAAGTATTTTCTAAAAGATGAAAAAAAATTAAAGTTAAAAATTCTACAATTTAACTATTTAAAGAGTGTTTTTATTAGTTAAAAACGCGTTTTCCTTAGCTTCCATTTCTTTTGATTTCGTTTTCCTTGTAAACTACATATAGATTTTACTAGCAGAAAAAAAAAATTACCGGAAATTACCATTAAATCAAAATAAACAACATCTGTGTTATTTTTCATAAACATTTTAATGTTCTCACAAGCTTATTAAATTGTTAAAAATTTTTTGGTTTTCTTGATCAGTTAAATTCTACAGATTAAAGAAATTAAACTATTAGCAAGTAGAGACAAATATTGAATTTATAAGTGAATGCTTAATCAAAAAAAAAAACTTTTTGTACACACTTTTATGGGAGGGAGAGGGAGGGACATAAATTAATTTATGCAAACTTATGTTCATAAGTACCAACGAGATCGATCACATCGTGTATCATATTAAAATACACCAAGAATTGAGATGCAGAACTATAGCCAAACATGAACAAAATCTCCAAAACTTATAAAATAAAAAAGATTAAGTATTTATCTTACCAACACTGTTGTGTAATTGATTATGCCAATCGTCACGAACAATTGATTCAAACCTTTTAAATTCTTCAATGCCAAAATTATTTATGACCTCTAAAACTAAACTATAGGAAGGAACACTTCTATTGAATCTCCTTCGCAGACATCTGCTGAATTTTGGATTAAAAGTTGTTTCAATGCAATCTTTTGTTTCAGGACTTTGTTGTAACCCAACACAAGTATCTCTCCCAACACCTATCCAATCGTCTCGACGCGACGTATTCCAACTGTTTCTACCAAATGTTCCTTCTTTAACACAGTAAGCTTCGGTTTTTTCACCATTTCCTCCGAAGCCTCCATGATTGTCCCACATATGATAACTCGGTGTAGTTTTCCAAACCACTTTTGAAAATAAAGCCCAGTTCCAAACAGGAATTGTTACACGACAATCAATAGTTCGAAGAAAGTTTTCAAAAACTAACATGTAACTAAAGCGAAAGCAGTATTTAGACAAAACAATTAAAACAATATACTCTTAGTTACAAAACATTTACTCTTAGTTACAATTAATTAATATAACTTTAACAATAAAAACAATAAACGCTTTATTACAATTAACAGTACTATTTTTAAATTTTGCCAACAACATCGTAAAAAACGTCATTTAAAAATATTAGTAAAAGAATGAAGTAACGGTACAATAAATACCTTCTGTGCCAAGGAAAAAATTGTGCAGCACCATGAAGCCCCGACCAAAAAAATTTTTGGTGGTAGTCAATATACTCCTCGTATAACTTAACATACTTTGGATTTGTAGAAAATTCTTTTAGGGTATTTATATATAAAAGTCTATCGTCCAACGACATAGAAGAAAACTCTCGACGCACACGTTTGCAATTCACTAATCTGCCATTGATGCAATCGCAAAGACGCTGACATTCGTCAAATAAAGGTTTGTTATTAACATTCATTACACATATCTGACGCTTTGCTAAATTGTAAAACAAAATTAATTTACATGATGCCATGATAAAAGCGTAATATTTACTTAAATAAAATTAGCCACATTTACAAAGTCACAGAGTTAGAAATAGAATCGAAGAGTTGTAAACAAAATTATAATAAATGAAAAAATAATGTTTTTAAAAACTTAAAGACAAAAATTTACAAATTTAAAAATAGTCTTTACCTTCCAAAAATGGTAGACGAGAAATAATATTATCAACGGATTTTTCGTGAATAAAATGTACATCATTAATTTGAAAATCTTTGTTATTGTCTCCGATTTGCAAAACATAAACATTGGTCGGGTTGTCTAGCATTGCAGGGATATTTGTAAAAAGCTCAATTTCTAATGTGGTCAGTTTTTTATCAGTAACAACTACAATAATACTAGATTCATTTTTAAAGTCTATAATTTCTTCCAAGCTTTCTGTGAAAGTTTCATTTAATGGTCTTTTTCTAGTTTTGGAGACACTGAAATATGGATACAATTATTGTTAGTGTACTGTAAACCCTAATAAAAATTTGTACACATAGGTCCACTGGGTACTAATAAGAACTTGGGTTAAACAATAAAAAACAAATTAAATGGAAAAGTAAGACAAGCAAAAATCAGAATAAAATGATCAATAAAGTCAATCTGACTTTATTGATCTATGGTATATAAAAAAGATCTATGGTAAATATATGTTTATATATATATATATATATATATATATATATATATATATATATATATATATATATATATATATATATATATATATATATATATATATATATATATATATATATATATATATATATATATATATATATATATATATATATATATATATATATACATATATAAAGTTTTTATTTTCTGTGTAAATTTCTTCTTTCAAAAGACTTTACTCAGCATTGTCTAAATTATAAGTAGCAACTTTCTGTCAATTGTAAATTAAAATAATTATACAGCTTACGATAACTTATGTAGCAAGCAACTTCTAGAACTAAACTCATATAATTGTTGAGAGTATCCATTTGTACTGTAAGCACTAATTCGAAAACGGTCCAAAGGTAATTTGTAAATTATCTCAGAAAGAACTTTTCTACCGATCTTGGAAATTTTAGGGTTGACGTCACTTATTAAGATCACATTTTGTCGACCATTTATTGCTTCGGCAGAAACTGTAAAAAAAAAAATTTATTATATAGTCATGAATTATATATAAAGACCCCTAAACTTAACTTTATATAATTTTTTTGTTGTTGTAATTATCTATTTTGTGTACAAACACTTATGAAACTTGAAGCAATATTAAAATTTTTTAATATTAGCAAATTTCAAGTTCATGTTAATTTACATTAAAAAATTTATTAAAACTCAAACGTATTTTGCTCTTTCGGGTTAAAAACAAATATTGCATGCATAGCGCTTTAAATTTAAAAGTTTTAAAGCCCATAATAGTTACACATATAATTTTCTTAAAAAAAGCATAATGTTTTAATTTAAATTAAATATTTAATGACAAAGCAATGGTAAAATCAGTATAAAACTAGTTACAGGAAAGTGTATATTTTTTAAAATCAAATTACTGCCCTTATATTTGCGATGGGGAGATTAATTTTGAGATACCTTTGTCACTAGCGTTCGACGACTGTTATTTATGCTAAAGCTTTCTCTTTTGACATTAGCATGAACGTTCACAAGTTTGATGTTTGCTTTATACATGAAAGTTACTCAAAATACACACAAAAACTGGGTACATGGCTGCAGAGGCACTTGCCTGCAGAATTATATGCCTACTGGGTACAAGTAGGCATGTACCTCTGCAGACTTCAAGTTTCATTAAACTATTTTTAATTATAAAGTATTTTCATCTTCAAGTTTCTTAAAAAATTGCTGGTACAATAATATATAATATTTACAAACAGAAACAAAATATTTTTTTGTTTTTTAATTGTTAAAAGTACATATAAAAATCTCATACCTTTCGGAAAAGCAAAAAACTACTTACTTGTTATGCCTAAAATAATTAGCAACACGATGTGCTTGTACAAACACATTTCTTCTTGTTAAATGTTAGATTTAATACTATTTTCCAATTAAATCAGTGAAATTTTATTAAATATAAACCGCGTAAAAAAATGATACTTTCGTTTCGCATTGCGGGCCACATTTCCATGGTAATAAATTTAAACTGCTTAGAGTTACCACAAACATAATTTACTTTAATGTTAAGTACCCTCATTAAATCTATACTAGCAATTATTTAGTCATTAGTCTTTCAATTACAAATAAATTAATCAATTTTATTAGATTTTTTAAAGAAAGTTTTACATCATTATCAATTTAATTGCCATGTGCTTTGATCAGCATCGTCAACTATTTTTTTTATTATTTTTTTAAGTGTCCAAAAAATTGTATTAAATCCGTTTTAATATGAACTTGAGTTTAGACACATTTTTTCACATGTTTTAATGCTTTTTTTCTGGAAGACATAAAAGTTTATCTTTAAAATATGATTAATTAGAAAAAGTTTAACTAATGGTTATATAAAAAAACGTCACAAAAATTGCATTGTAAAAATTTCTGAATGTTTTGTTATTAATATCTTTACAAAAGCTATAATATAAAGATATCTACAGTAAATTAACTAGAATATGTAGAATGTTTTAAAATATTACATAAAATAATAACATAAGAATTTATTAAGATTTAAAAACTTGATAACTATGAACTCTTAACCACATTTTTTTTTACGTAAGCAATAACTAACACTCTACGTAAGCAATATCAGTATTATGCCATGAAAATTGAATTAATCCGATGACAGATATAGTCTAAAATTAGCAGCGAGTTTTTTTTTCAAAAATAATTTTTGAATTAAGCTTTGTTTAATGTTTTGTATAAACTTTTATTGAATAGGTTCTATTGACTAAAATATTTTGCTACATTGCAAAGGCTCTAGACGAATAAGATGCTTTTTTATTTTTAAAAACTTCTTGGCGTTCATATTTTGATGAAAAATGTAAATACCTGAAACTAAAGATAAGCTAAAGATTCACTTTAGGGTAAATTATAATTAAAATTTTTATTTGTAATCTATAACATATTGGTATATAATCATATATAATTTTATAGTTGTACATATTTAAGGTAGCGCATACAGATCAACTTAATATGCGTCAATATGATGACGGCATTTTTAACATGCCGACAACGACAATGGTCGTAAACATTGTAAAACTATTATAATTAAATAAAACTGCCCCCATTAAAAGTTAATTTTAGTCAGAAATTAAAAACCCGCAATTTTTTTTGGCATAGGTGAAAAGGTTGTATGCGTGCCTTATGTCAGCTTTATCACAACCATATTTCCCAAAAGCCTAATTATTTTCTGCATTAACCAATAGAAGACACTCTTAAACAACCTTCTGATAAACGTTGAACTAGACACTCTTAAATAACCTTCTGATAAACGTTGAACTAGCCGGATACATGCAGTTGTTGTAAATCGGCTGCAATTTATGATATCGTCGATCGCACAAATATTTTTGTAATTTCATTACAAAAAAAGTTGTGCGATCAACAATGAAAAAGAATGGTTTCGCCATTGTTGTTAATGTTTTTTTATTTTATTAAAGTTTTGAGTAAAATTAAATTTACTAAACTTAAGTTTAGGTTGTTTAGTGTCTTTGGTGTACACTAATATATATATATATATATATATATATATATATATATATATATATATATATATATATATATATATATATATATATATATATATATATATATATATATATATATATATATATATATATATATATATATATATATATATGATGATGACGATGTCGATGATGATGATGATGATGATGATGATGATGATGATGATGATGATGATGATAGGTAGGTCTTTACGTATTAGCCCTGAACTTAAAGGGAACCCAGTATCCATGAATCTAATACATTATATGTAAAAATTTTATGTAAGAAATTTGTCAGACTGCACAGTGTGGCCCAGTTGGTGGACAAAATGGGAAAATTCTTAGTTGTCTAATCTTGAAAACTTACTTAATTTTAGTTTCTATATATATCAAGAGAAGAAATTTGAAAAAAAATTATAATTATGAATAAGTAAATTTGGTGACATCAAAATTACTTATTCATAATTATAATTTCAAGCGATTTTTTTTTCTTATTTTTATTTTTACCTAATATATTTAACATCATTAAAATTTTTTTTAGTGTTGAACTTTAAATATTGCGATTTTTTAGCAATGTGTCGCTAGCTACATATTGTAGCTTTGTAGCTAGCTACAAAATATCTACAAATCTATATCTGGTTGATAGCTACATATAAAAAATTTTTCGCAGCAATTTTATTACGATATGACGCTAGCTAAAATAACCAGTGGGTCTTTAGCTTATTACGCTAGCTGTCCTCGCAGCCAAATCGCTGTCTTTATCTTTACAAACATCGATAGCTTTTCGCTAACTTGAAAAAGCTAGCAATCCTCGCGGCCTAATTGCTGTCTTTATTGTTACGATTATAGCTAGCTGTTCGCTAGCCGATTTCTCACCGGGCCAATTATATCTGTTTTGTCAAAACGCAAAATTTGTACATGTTAAATTAGATAAGAAAAACAATTGCGTGGAATAAACTTGTCATAGCATGTTATCTCCGTTATATTTTGAAAATTACAGATGTTTATATTTTGAAAATTACAGAATGTTTGCTCCGTTATATTTTGAAAATTACAGAATGTTTGCTGCATTTTAACTAATAATTGACACAATTCGCCATGATCTAATATGTCTTTTGAGCCATTATCTAATACTTAATCTTGCCGCTAATAAGCATCATAAGCGACAATAAATAATGGGTTTGTTTTGAAATTAGATCTCCTAGTTTTATATTTACTTAAATCTTTTAATAACTAACTATAAAAATTGAAAGAAAAGATTTTTAGAATTGTTTATGACACAATGGAGTACATTTTACAGTTTTGGAGCCCCCACAAATGCTGTATCAAGATATCCCATACTTGCTAATCGCTTTATTTTTAATATAAATTTTTTTTATTTCAGTATTATTCTCTTAAATGATTTGGAAGCTCCAGATATCAGAAAGCACGTTTTCTACCTTTGTAGCACCCATTTGGAAATCATTAAAAGTTCGATATATGAAGAATTTCTGCATCTACCGGAACAGTTGCTTTTGGAGCAAAATAAAAATATATAATAAAACAATATGTGCGTTTGGTTAAGCAAAAATGATCAAGAGGAATTATATACAACAACGTTAATACAAAAAAAAAAATGAGAACTTAAATTAAGTAATATAGAATAATACTTTGTTTTAGTCCAATCTTCTAAAATTCCATATATCAGACAAACAGATTCATTTTTTATGGAGATAATAGTTCAGCTCATTAACTTAAGTTAGTCCACCTTCTCAGTAATACAGTATAGTATTCATAAAAGTTAATGCAAAAAGTGGTAAGTTTGATTTGAACTGAATAAAAAACCAATAACTTGGCAACTCCAAATAGCAACTGAAAAATCCTTTGTCTGTACTATTGCTAACCAGAGTCAAAACATAGCCGAGCGTGTTTACACCATAAATAACCATGAACTTGCCCATGTTAACTGTATAAGAGATCTTGGAGTTACCATTGATAGAAATCTCAAATTCAATTAACATATCAATCTTATCGTACATAAAGCTATGTCAAGAGCTTTTCTTATTTTAAAATCTTTTTATTCACCAGATAGATTGCTGATGGTTAAAGCCTACTGTACTTATGTACGACTTATGCTTGAATATTGCTCTTCAGCATGATCACCTTACACTATATGCCTTATTAATAAAGTTGAGAAAGTGCAGCGTTTCTTCACTAAAAGAATTGTTGGTCTGTGGTAAGTTTCCTATGATAAGCGTCTAGCCATACTAAAGCTAAACACGTTAGAATATCGACGAGTGTTTAAAGATTTAGTTTTATGCTACAAAATTCTTAACGGTAAACTGGACACTGACCTATCAAATATTTTTATTCTCAATTCTTACTTGAATAATCGCGGTCATAACTTTAAACTGTACAAACACCATTGTAGTTTAAACAGCACAAAGTGTTTCTTTTCTAATCGAATTGTTAATGCATGGAATAGTTTATCGGAGGATGTGGTGTCTGCATCGTCTGTCTTGATGTTTAAGAAACGTCTTGCTGTACTGCTTTGTTTAAGTTAATACAATTTTGTTGTAACTTGTCCAGCACTTGATACAATTTAACATTTCAGTAAAAAAAAATTTCTTAATGTATACTCAGCGTTAGTGGCCTTCGGGTCCTTCTGTTGTTTTCAAATAAATAAATAAATAAATAAACTTCCGATTGATAAAAATAAAAATAATATAAAAAAACACTGTATATTGTTAACAATCTAAATCGTCAAAAAACTCATGTTATTATTTCATATCATCTCAAAAGTTTCCTACTTTAATAACAATTTCAAAATCCTAATATAATAGATGAAAAAATATGTTATTTATTTATTTTATTTATTAAATTATGTTTTTTTCTTCATTATAGAACAATAAACCATTAAATAAAAGTCTTGAAAAAGCTAAAGCAGAAATACAATCGAAAAATAAAATATAGTTCTACATTTAAAAGTAAAAGTTCTTAAAAATTTGAAAATCATTTATAATTACAAAGTTACCAAAACCTAATACACTAACCATTAATAAAATAATCCTTCATAATTAAAATACCTTTTATCTATTGGAAAGTGAAATGTATTATTTCATATTATCACTCCATATTTACTATTGTGTGTTAAAATTGTAAAAGCACTGGTAATTGAGCTTTAGATAAAATAACTAAATAATTTTTTTTTTCAATCTGTCTTCATGGATTGGTAGTTATGGGCAGTGGCGGATTGAGACTTTTTGGGGCCCAGGGCTATTTTTATTTTTGTAGACCTTTTTATGGGCCAGAGCCTAAAAATGACTTATATTTTATATTTTACTAGTTTCCAAAAGCACATGTAATATTTTTTTGTTGCATGAATAGCCTTTTCAGTGACACTTTTTAAAAAAGCTGACCTTCATTGAGTTTATCCTATTGATTAAAAAAAATTTCCCAAAATATTTTTCAAAAATGGACATCCTTAAACTGATATGCATGTAGACTACACAATTTTAAGATGTAGATATAGATAAAGATATAGAATGTACACAATTTAAGGTTCAATCTGCAATTTTTAATTTTAACACTTTTGATTTTTTTCATTACAAAAATACACAAACAGGAAAAGTATGTTATGCTATTTGATACATAGTTGTATTTAAGCATATGGAAGTTTTCTTTTTTACAGCAATACTTTTATATCTATACTATTTATATCAGATAGTGAAAAATAGTGTGTTAAGTTATGCTTTCAAAATTTTTCCTGTAAATGACAAGAAAATCAACAGTTATTTTGTTTAGCCATGCATCTGAATTTGTTAAACTTTTTTAAAATCAGTATATTCAATAGGATCAGCAGCATATATTTTCTTAATGTTAACATTTATTTCTGTTAAACCTCTTTGTATATGTTACTAAATATTGTAAATAGATTGTAAAGATAGAAAGTTGTTTTCTTTGCTTTCAACACACTCCTTGTTATTACTTATATAATAACTTTAGTATAATAATTTTTAAGTACATTTTGTAGCAGTTAATTTTCTTTATGGAAATACATATTATGCTATTATTTATGTTATTTTTAGGAACAGTATAAATTTTTCCTTCCATTACTCAAATAATATTACTTATTGCGATAAACTTTTTGTGATCTGATTAAGTTGGTATTATAGATTTAGTTTCCTTTAACTATATAAAAATGCATTAAGCAAAAAAGATGGCATTTTTGTAAAGGGAAAGTTGAGATAGTGATAAAAATTGCACTGCACCAAAGTAATTTGAAAGTTTGTTTCCTTTTTAGAATATTCTTTTTCTACAATTTTTTAATAGCAAGGCATACTGAAATATGTTTAGTTTGGCAAGACATAGAAATTTAGTTTTTTTTACTTTGAGAATCTCATTTTTGAATTCATGATATTTTTTCCTTTGCTTCATGGAAATCTTTTATAAATAATAACAATGAAAGGACATATCAACACTTTTTTGAAATCAACAATTTAAAAGTAATATTCTTGAAACCAACATTTCAAAATAAAAGATATTTGGAATCTTTTTTAAACAAAACTGCAATACAAGTTTGTTTCCTATAAGATTTTGATAACTAACAAGCAACGTTAACGCCAGGTTAAATAAAATTCGTTTTAACAGTCACAACTTTTCTGGCAATTTTCGTTCCGAAACTGCATTCAATTTTTAATAACTGTATCAATTTTTAATAACTGCATCAATTTTTCTGTTCTAAACTTATATTTAAAGTACACTTTTTAAAAATAGATGAAGTGATAGATGGGTACGCTGAGTCTTTTATAGTTAAAGAGGTAGTTAAAGGCGAGAAAAATCCTTGTAAAATCCAAGCAAGTTTTGAGTACAAAACGTCTTTTTGCCTTTTACTTTAGTTTTTAAGCAAGAAAAGGGTACTGTTTAAATTTATTTATTCTGATCCGTAACTCGTGTAAAGTGCATTTTGTAGATAAGCAATGGTCTATCAATGATATTATACAATTATTTTCTATCTAAAAAATTATCCATTGTTTTTTATCAATTAAGAAGAAAGGTAAAAACATTCTGGTATCAATTGAGATCGACATTGTTTTTGTTCATTTATCCACTATGAAGATGGCTCCGAAATCTCATACGCCAAAACCACCCTTTATGAAAGTCGGTAATTATTTATTCACTCTTTTGCGCTTGTCCAATTACGTCTGAAATATTAATAAATAAATAAAAATAGATTAAGTGAGGACTAAATGCTGACGATGAAGGTCATGATAAGAGTCAGATTTTAGATCATGGCTGGTCTAAATAGATTTAAGAAAAGGGTCAGGTTGTTCTAACTTGATAATTAACCTCAACCATAAATCTAATCCTGACCCTCAAAAACGTTTTTTTTAATTTTTTACAAAATTTAATTTTTTAAATCTGTGGATCTTTTTTAAAATCATCACACACACACACACACACACACACACACACACACACACACACACACACACACACACACACACACACACACACACACACACACACAAATATATATATATATATATATATATATATATATATATATATATATATATATGTATATATATATATATACATATATTTATGTTGTTTATATATATATTATATATATAATAATAATATAAGTTAACCTGTTACAATTGTTTTACCAATTGCGGAACACAATTACAGGAGAGATTGTGTTGTGACAGCTATATTGTTACTTAATTCAAGCGTATAATTAATTTAGGTTAATGTTTTTAAAAAGTTTTTTCCTTAGATAAATTCATTGTAATAGCATCTTGTTTATTCTTAAACTGATTAATTGAGTCAGCTTCAATAACCGAATGAGGTAAACTATTCCAAGTAAACCGTTCATGATATATATATCATATTTTACATATATATATAAATATATATCTATATATATATATCTATATATATATATATATATATATATATATATATATATATATATATATATATATATATATATATATATATATATATATATATATATATATATACTATATATATATATATATATATATATATATATATATATATATATATATATATATATATATATATATATATATATATATATATATATATATATATATATGTATATGATCTTGCGTGTTAGTCGAAAAGTTTTTTCCATAAACTGTAGTTTTAAATCAAACGCTTATAAACCAATATATGTATATGATCTTGCGTGTTAGTCGAAAAGTTTTTTCCATAAACTGTAGTTTTAAATCAAACGCTTATAAACCAATATATATATATATATATATATATATATATATATATATATATATATATATATATATATATATATATATATATATGTATATATATATATATATATATATATATATATATATATATATATATATATATATATATATATATGTAAATGATCTTGCGTGTTAGTCGAAAAGTTTTTTCCATAAACTGTAGTTTTAAATCAAACGCTTATAAACCAATATATGTATATGATCTTGCGTGTTAGTCGAAAAGTTTTTTCCATAAACTGTAGTTTTAAATCAAACGCTTATAAACCAATATATATATATATATATATATATATATATATATATATATATATATATATATATATATATATATATATATATGTATATATATATATATATATATATATATATATATATATATATATATATATATATATGTAAATGATCTTGCGTGTTAGTCGAAAAGTTTTTTCCATAAACTGTAGTTTTAAATCAAACGCTTATAAACCAAACTAGAAAAAGTTTAAAAACTTGAATAAAGTTTTTTTAAATGATAGATTGCTTACCCTAACCAAACCCTCAGTCAACTTAGCGGCACTTCCTTGTAGCATCAGGCTATAATATAGTCGATGTAGCAGCACTCCCTTGTAGCAGCAGTCTATAAGATAGTCTATATAGCAACACTCCACACATGTTTTACAGTAAAAAAAACAACATTCCTTACACGTTTATATGTATATGTATATATATATATATATATATATATATATATATATATATATATATATATATATATATATATATATATATATATATATATATACATTTGTATATATTACAAATATATATAATATATATGTTTCCAGAAAAAGAATAACAACCATGAAAACAAATGTATATTTATTTGTTTATTTTCATGTTTAATATTTTTATAGAAAAAAAGTTTGGAATAAAGTAAAATATATTTAATATATTTTTGATATTTTTATTTAAAGGTAGAGATGACTATGAAGCCATTGTTAAAACAAAAAGTGGATGAACTGTTTCTTCACTGGTTTTCTGAAGTTTCAACTCAAAGCCTTCTTAGAAAAGAGTTACAAATTATACAGTTAAATTCACTTTCTACTTCTATAAAAGCTTCATCGCCAATAAATAATTCAATAACTGGATTGAATTTAAATAATAGACCTAGTTCACCCCCAATCCCTCCAAACAGCCCTACCTTAACACCAAGAAGATCAAGAAGTAAGCTTAATTCTCATATTTCAGCATGTCCTAGAAAGAGTTTGCTAAAAAGTTTTCATGATCAAACTGGATTTTATCCTGGCTGTGCCAAAAATTTAAAGCAGTTTTTTTATCCATTTGGTCAACCACAATTGAATGAAAGTAATGCTTTGACTTTAAAAAAATTAAATATTGCATTTGATAAATTTTCAAACAATGAAGCCTATCTACGCGATTTTCCGACTTTAACTAAAGTAAGTTATAGGTTGCTGTTATGTTCATTTGATCAGTATCTTATATTTTTTGTAGAAGGATACATTTTAAAACTTCAATAAATTGAAGATATTTAATATTCCCTGTCATGTGTAAAAGTAACTTTTTTCTATGTGTCATTGTCTTGTTATGTTATATCTTTATTTTATGTGTTGCAGTCTTGTTATGTTATGACTTTATTTTATGTGTCACAGTCTTGTTTTGTTATGTCTTTATTTTGTGTTGCAGTCTTGTTTTGTTATGTCTTTATTTTGTGTCGCAGTTTGTTATGTAATGTCTTTATTTTGTGTCACAGTCTTGTTTTGTTATGTCTTTATTTTATGTGTTGCAGTCTTGTTTTGTTATGTCTTTATTTTATGTGCCACAGTCTTGTTTTGTTATGTCTTTATTTTATGTGTCACAGTCTTGTTATTTTGTCAGAATTTTTATCATAATTTTACTTAAACCATCAGTTAAAGTAAACAAAATTATTTTAAATTAAATTAGTTCATTTCATTATTTTGAATCTTAAGATGTAATTATGGTTAGATAATATTATTAAGTAATAAGAAAAGAAATTTCAGATGACAAATGACAAATAAAAATTCAGATGGCATGACAAATAAAAACCTGGTGTGATCGCTAACCTAAATAGTTAGGAAAAATTATAGTGTTATAGTTAGTATTAGTTCAAGTTATTGAGTGATTTTTTAAATACTTTTAGTATTTAAAATACTGAGTTTACTGTTTGAGTTATCAAGGCTTTGAGTTATCGGAAGTTAACTGTATTTTAACTGTTATTTTTCAAAATTAATGAAAAGTTTTTAGCTTGTGTAACAAAAATCAAAAAGATAAAAATAAAGATATATATAAAACATGAAAAATAAACGTTTCACCATGACAACCAATTATATTTGCACAAAAACTTGCAGAATAGAAGATTTGATGACAAGAAAGCACTCTAGCAGCACCTTAATCACTTCTTTATTCAAATCCTAAAGAGTTGAATGCCAAAGGTATTTGTATGGCAAGTGGTCATAGAATATGGTGGTGCATATATTGTTGAAATTTAGTCTTAAGTTAAAAATAATTAAAGTTTTGAAAAACATATTTCATTATTTCTATGTCAACCCAATATTTGGATCATCAGGAAAATATTTTCATGAAATTGGAAATGTTTGCAATTTTTGCTGTTTTTAATTAATTATTAAAAATAATTAAAAACAGCAAAATATACTGGTTTTTATTTCATTATTATTTTTAAATAAGTGAGAATTTTTTTGTTTTTTCATTCATTTTTGATTTAAAATTTTTAATAATTCATTTTTAATAAAAATATTTTTAATTGAATAATGTATATACACATTACTGAAAGTGTTCTGCTATACTAGATGTATCTACTTTTTTATTGTGTTACCAATTATTCTAGGTTTGTGCAGTTTTTTCTATTAGTTGTGTTGTTTTCTTCTGTACTGGATTTATGAACTTTTTTATTTAGTTGTGTGGTTATCCACTTTACTGGAAGTATGCACTTTTTTCTGCTTGCGGAGGAAAGAAAGATTTGCCAATCACTCGAAACAAGTTTATTGCAACATGGAAAAAGTAAAAATGTTTAATTTTTTTATATTCAATTATTTACATTAATTATATTTCATTATTTATAACAAATGTATTCTTATCCAGCATTAAAATAAAAACTTTGATGCAATGATGATTAATTTCTGCATCAGTATTTTCTGATCAGACTATTTCCTTAGTCTCTGTTCTTTCTCATCTTTTAATTTTATCTTGATACCCTACCCTAATATATGTACACTTTCTGCATGTCCTTCCTATTTAAGTCAGTTAATGTATGTAATCTTTCATAAAATCAATTTAATATCATTCACAATGCAAAATAAAAATATTCACAATGTTAAATATCATCCACGTGAGAAAATATCAAAATTCACATTATTAACCAACAAAAATCACAATAAAGACTACATTAATTACAAGGAAAAAATATTAAGATAAATTTTTAAAAGTGGAAATATCAAGATTAACACATTCTTCTGAGAGAAAACTTCAAAAATAAACTAAGAGTAACAAACTTAGCTCTTAGACTAGATTGTTTATTTCCACAATTACTAATGGTGCATTATTGTGCAAAACTACGGTTATGGTAAATATCTTCAACTAGTTAATTTATTGAAACATTTCAACATTACTGAAAGCTGATTTTGAATAAATATTAGTTTGCATATCTGTGACAAACCAGGTTCAACATGGTTGCAATAAGTTTATTCTTCAAATATTGAATGTCACTTTTTTTATTTGTTTTTAAAACCATCCAGTAGATTTGAAGCATTTTAATAGTTAGTGAAAAATTTTTATTTTGGTTATCCCAATCAATCCTTTTTTCTTTTGATATTTTTTTCGGACAATGGGTTTAATGCTAAACAGAATTGATATTTTTAATTATTTGTATTTTTTCAACTCTTTTTCACTGTTCCTACCAAGTGGAGAATAGGAGATTGATTATCATAATCAGGAGTGTGGAGTCGTAAAAAAAAAGTAACGACTGTGTGTAGTCGTAAAAAAAAAGTAACAAATAGTTTTATGAGTGTAACTCCGACTATAACTCCAAAGCAAAATTTTTGAAAAATTCTTTGAATTCTTTAAAAAATATTACGCGATAAGTTAAAAAATTTTTTTTTGACAAATTTACGAAACGTTCTTTGAGGTTTAGTATAAACATAAGGTTAATTGAATGGTTTGTACATGCGCATGCAATACCAAGAAGTTTTACTATTGGAGTTAGTCGCGATTTTGTTTAGCAACTCTGACTCCGCTAAAAATATTGCAACTCCGACTCCACAGCCCTAATCATAATCAATTAATCAATGTCTTTAAAAATAACCTCTAATGTTGGATTTTAATACATTTAATGCTTGATTCTGGAATAGTTATTTAAGCATAGCTGTCATTCAGAACACAAAAGGCACGGCAGCAGCTTTGCGACACCATATTTATTTTTTGTGCTCATAAAAATAAAATCCTTAATTCACTTTTTTTTAATGATGTATCATCTTTTGAAAAATTATGTATAGAAATTAAATGATTAGATAAAGGAGTTTCACTTGACAAACAAGACAATATTTTTATCTGTGGTTGATTACTACGGTCAGATAGGCATTGCCTTTCAGTTGCTCTTTCTTTTTTTTTTTAGTTTGCTTTGCAGCATTTTTATTTCTTTTATGAAATTTTATTTATGAAATTGTTATATCAGGCTTAGATCTTTGCAACTTTTATAATAACAAAATTATAAAACTGTTTGTAATCTTTATCTGTATTTTTCAACTTGTCTCTGATAATTACAAAAAAAAAAAAGGAATAATAACAAACAATAATACACACCATATAATAAATATATTACATAAATATCATTAAAAATTTTAAGCAATTAATATAAACATTCTGCTATTCTTCTGTTAATCTTCTGGTATTCTTCTGGTATATAAAAAAATTAATGTTAAACTTATTAAACATAAGTTAAAATTAGGTTATAGATAAAATGTAAAACATTTACATAATTTAATTTTACTTTTTAACTTCTTTTCTTTGAGTGTTTCAACAATGTCCTGGAATCTTCGCAATCTAAATGTTTTTTAATTTTAAATGTTTTCTTAAATCTTTTTTCAAAAGTTGTAAGGATTAAATAGTTTTTAAAATATTTTACTGATTTTATACTCTATAAATATCTATATATTATACATTATACTCTATATATATTTATGTTTTTTACCAGATCATCAGATGAAGAATGAGTTTCAATCATCTCTTCTACCTCATCATCAATGAACTTCTACCTTATTTATTCTACTTCATCATTAATTAACTTCTATTCTATCTCATCATCAACCAACTTCTACTTTATCTCTAAAATATAAAGAAACAAATGTTGAATGGTTAAAAAAGAGATTTATAAAAATTATAAAATTTTCTTTTTAATTAAAAAGTTTGTTTTAAATTTTGGTTTTTTCAATTAAAACTAGTATTAAATAAATATTATTATTTACATGTTATTGTTTTTAACTTTAACTTACAAAGTAAAAATTTTATTTCTATAAATTATTTATATACACTTTACGCATATTATATTTTAATGTTTAATTAAAGTTTTAATGTTTAATCCACGTAGTGTAACATCGTCTATTGCTATTGGTTAAACAAAAATTTAAAAGCATACATATACAAAATTAATAAAAAAGTTAATTGATACCTTACAGTGAAGTATTTAAAAACACTTACATGTATTATATGCAAGCTTATAGTGAAGTATTCAAAAACACTTACATGTATTATTATGTATTGCACGCTTACTGGTATTCAGACTTAATGAAATAATATGCGTTTTAAAATAGAATTTTTTCAAATAGTTTATGAAATTTACAAAATATATTTACAAGAACTGGAGAATGCAAAAAAATAAAAATAAGTATACAAATTTTTTGTTTTTTAGTATTCATATAATTTATCTAAAATTTGTTGTACCTTATTATGAAACCAGCTTTGAACTTTCACTTTGCTGTACCTTACTATGAGACTAGCCAACTTTGGCAACTATTTGCTTCAGACATTAAAACTTTGTAGAGATTGTTGAACTTAAAGCCCAAAATTCAATTTAAAAAAAAAAAAACATTAAAAAAAAAATTTTAAACAAAGATATTTTAAAAGTCCATGTTATTTAAAAAAAAAACAACCTTAAATTGAAAATGTTTCCCCATTGCAGATAAAAAGATGTTTTTTTTTGTTTTTCTGACAAAAGATCTAATAATTGAACATCACTCTAAAATTTGTTAGCTTAACATTTAAGTAATAATAAAATTTGTTTGCCTAACATTTAAGTAATAATAAAATTTGTTAGCTTAACATTTAAGTAATAATAAAATTTGTTAGCTTAACATTTAAGTAATAATAAAATTTTTCAGCTTAACATTTAAATTTGTTAGCTTAACATTTAAATAATAATAAAATTTGTTAGCTTAACATTTAAGTAATAATAAAATTTGTTAGCTTAACATTTAAGTAATAATAAAATTTGTTAGCTTAACATTTAAGTAATAATAAAATTTGTTAGCTTAACATTTAAGTAATAATAAAATTTGTAAGCTTAACATTTAAGTAATAATAAAATTTTTTAGCTTAACATTTAAGTAATAATAAAATTTGTAAGCTTAACATTTAAGTAATAATAAAATTTTTTAGCTTAACATTTAAGTAATAATAAAATTTGTTAGCTTAACATTTAAATAATAATAAAATTTGTTAGCTTAACATTTAAGTAATAATAAAATTTGTTAGCTTAACATTTAAATAATAATAAAATTTGTTAGCTTAACATTTAAGTAATAATAAAATTTGTTAGCTTAACATTTAAATAATAATAAAATTTGTTAGCTTAACATTTAAATAATAATAAAATTTGTTAGCTTAACATTTAAATAATAATAAAATTTGTTAGCTTAACATTTAAGTAGTAATAAAATTTGTAAGCTTAACATTTAAGTAATAATAAAATTTGTTAGCTTAACATTTAAATAATAATAAAATTTGTTAGCTTAACATTTAAGTAATAATAAAATTTGTTAGCTTAACATTTAAATAATAATAAAATTTGTTAGCTTAACATTTAAATAATAATAAAATTTGTTAGCTTAACATTTAAGTAATAATAAAATTTGTTAGCTTAACATTTAAGTAATAATAAAATTTGTTAGCTTAACATTTAAGTAATAATAAAATTTGTAAGCTTAACATTTAAGTAATAATAAAATTTGTTAGCTTAACATTTAAGTAATAATAAAATTTTTTAGCTTAACATTTAAGTAATAATAAAATTTGTTAGCTTAACATTTAAGTAATAATAAAATTTGTTAGCTTAACATTTAAGTAATAATAAAATTTGTAAGCTTAACATTTAAGTAATAATAAAATTTGTTAGCTTAACATTTAAGTAATAATAAAATTTTTTAGCTTAACATTTAAGTAATAATAAAATTTGTTAGCTTAACATTTAAGTAATAATAAAATTTGTTAGCTTAACATTTAAGTAATAATAAAATTTGTAAGCTTAACATTTAAGTAATAATAAAATTTTTTAGCTTAACATTTAAGTAATAATAAAATTTGTTAGCTTAACATTTAAATAATAATAAAATTTGTTAGCTTAACATTTAAATAATAATAAAATTTGTTAGCTTAACATTTAAGTAATAATAAAATTTGTTAGCTTAACATTTAAGTAATAATAAAATTTGTTAGCTTAACATTTAAATAATAATAAAATTTGTTAGCTTAACATTTAAATTATAATAAAATTTGTTAGCTTAACATTTAAATAATAATAAAATTTGTTAGCTTAACATTTAAGTAGTAATAAAATTTGTAAGCTTAACATTTAAGTAATAATAAAATTTGTTAGCTTAACATTTAAATAATAATAAAATTTGTTAGCTTAACATTTAAGTAATAATAAAATTTGTTAGCCTAACATTTAAATAATAATAAAATTTGTTAGCTTAACATTTAAATAATAATAAAATTTGTTAGCTTAACATTTAAGTAATAATAAAATTTGTTAGCTTAACATTTAAGTAATAATAAAATTTGTTAGCTTAACATTTAAATAATAATAAAATTTGTTAGCTTAACATTTAAATAATAATAAAATTTGTTAGCTTAACATTTAAGTAGTAATAAAATTTTTAAGCTTAACATTTAAGTAATAATAAAATTTGTTAGCTTAACATTTAAATAATAATAAAATTTGTTAGCTTAACATTTAAGTAATAATAAAATTTGTTAGCTTAACATTTAAATAGTAATAAAATTTGTTAGCTTAACATTTAAGTAGTAATAAAATTTTTAAGCTTAACATTTAAGTAATAATAAAATTTGTTAGCTTAACATTTAAATAATAATAAAATTTGTTAGCTTAACATTTAAGTAATAATAAAATTTGTTAGCTTAACATTTATATAATAATAAAATTTGTTAGCTTAACATTTAAATAATAATAAAATTTGTTAGCTTAACATTTAAATAATAATAAAATTTGTTAGCTTAACATTTAAGTAGTAATAAAATTTGTAAGCTTAACATTTAAGTAATAATAAAATTTGTTAGCTTAACATTTAAATAATAATAAAATTTGTTAGCTTAACATTTAAGTAATAATAAAATTTGTTAGCCTAACATTTAAATAATAATAAAATTTGTTAGCTTAACATTTAAATAATAATAAAATTTGTTAGCTTAACATTTAAGTAATAATAAAATTTGTTAGCTTAACATTTAAGTAATAATAAAATTTGTTAGCTTAACATTTAAATAATAATAAAATTTGTTAGCTTAACATTTAAATAATAATAAAATTTGTTAGCTTAACATTTAAGTAGTAATAAAATTTTTAAGCTTAACATTTAAGTAATAATAAAATTTGTTAGCTTAACATTTAAATAATAATAAAATTTGTTAGCTTAACATTTAAGTAATAATAAAATTTGTTAGCTTAACATTTAAATAGTAATAAAATTTGTTAGCTTAACATTTAAGTAGTAATAAAATTTTTAAGCTTAACATTTAAGTAATAATAAAATTTGTTAGCTTAACATTTAAATAATAATAAAATTTGTTAGCTTAACATTTAAGTAATAATAAAATTTGTTAGCTTAACATTTAAATAATAATAAAATAGATTTTTTTTTTTGTATGGAAATGTATTAGGAGTTTTATTCTAATCATTCCAAGACAATAACTTACAAACATATGACCCTTTTTTGACGAATTTAGGTAACAAATCAATTTAAGTACGAGATTTAATTTGCAACTTCCTCAATTAAACTTTGAAAAGCTAAAACTAATATCACAAATGCCTTTTTGAAACAATTGACACAAAGTTAATATGTTATTTAAATAAAAATTTACACAAAATTGTTAATTATTTAAATAAAAATAATACTGCCATTATCAATTTTTATTTATTATCACTTTTGATAATAATTAGTTAAATGATCATAAATTAATTAAATTTATTAGTTTATGTCTTAAAAAAATACTATAAAAAATATTAGTTTCTATTTACATTTTTTTTCAACCCTATAAATGTCAAACTTTTTTTTTTATTGACGCATATCTCTTTATGATTTATCTTTAAAAATATAATTATCTTCAAACAACAAATCTTCAAACATTTGGCTAACAAGCTTTCTTACTAAAAGCTATTATCTGAAATCATTTAAGTTTTAACTTTTGAAGTCATACTTTACTTGAAGATTTTTGTTGTTTTTACATTATTAAAAAAAACAACTTAAAAAACAGTGATCGTATTGTAGAAAACTGATTTGAGTTTCCAGAAAAAATCTATTTCAAGTGGATTTTAATATTGATGAGTAGCATTAAGAAGTTTATACAATAAACTTATGAAAAATCTAATGATATTTATTCAAAGTGAATGTTTTTAAAACTAGAGGTAATCCTATGTTAAAGTGGTTATTTCACTGACTATATAGACAATAAATGTTAAAGGAAAATGTTTTTTTAAATATAGTTCCAGTAAGGTTAAACAATTAATCATTACTGCATCACTCTTTGTGAAAATTTATTTATTCTCTTTTGGGTAGTTCAGACCATGCTAATAGCATGGTCATAGCAGCTATGATCTCACTGCCCAGCAAGCACAAGATTTGTTTAACACGTATTAATGTGTGAAAAATGTTAATTAATACATTTTAAAATGTGTTTTAAATACATTGATTGCGTCTTCTGCTTACCGAGTTAAATTGTTATCTAATACCTTTTCTATATCAGATTCATTTTATAATTGCACTTCTTACCTTAATGCTGACTGTAATTACCTTTAGTGATTTTCTTTGTTACAGTCCTTTATTTTGTGTCTTTCATTGCCTTTTATCATTGCCTTTTATCATTGCCTTTTATCATTGACTTTTATTCATTTGCTTGTATTTTTCTAAATTCAGTAAGGTATGACATATTTAATTCTTGTTAGTTTTTAGTCATATCTCATTCCATGTTTATTTTGTGCAGCTACAGTTTCTTATTGCAATCATTTTTAGCTTTTTCTCCAGAATAACTTTCTTGAGAATAAACATCTTTTTTTTTTTAATTGCAAGTAATAGATTTAAAAATATATTTCTTTACCCTATGATCCAAATTTTGTATTTTGTCTCAGAAGTTAAGTTTTGAAATTTTTTGTAAAATCTTCAAGTAATTAACTAAAGCAAGTCTAATATTTTATCTTTTATAATTGTGTTTGGTTTTATTGCTTTTTCAAAGAGAAGGCAGAGCTGTTCGAAAAAAACTTTTCTTCTTGTAACTAGAATTTTAACCCAAACTCAGTTGTCAACAATACTGCAAATAATTATTGCATATTCCTGATATTAACAATTGGTAACCCTGGTTACCAATTGTTAATATCAATACTGATTAATACTGATTCCAATCAGTATTAATCTAACTAATACTGATTCCAAGTCCAACTGGTAACACTAATACTGAGTCCAAGTCCAACTGGTAACACTAATACTGAGACTTTAGGTTTTCTCAGGTTATCTTTTGCTACTAACTTCTCATAAAAACAATATATCTTTTAAACCATCAATTTTTTTTAGTTTATAGGATTTTATTTTAAATATTAGTTTAATCCTGAAAAAGATGATTTGAAAAATTTGAAATATTTCATAAATATTCATGTCTCTACTTTATATTTTAAACTTTCAAAAAAAGAATTAAATATAGAATTATACAAAAAAATAACTATTAGAATTATATATTTATTAGTAAAGCTATACAAAAGATAAATTCATCTTCAATTAATTTTTACAAAATGAAATTCATTCAACACTTAAAAAGTAAAAAAATATACTCCTAAAAGTCAAATAAAAAAGTCTTAGTAAATATTGGAGTCTTAGTAAATATTAGAAAAAAGTTAGCTTGCAGATAGTTAGATTGGAGATAGTATATACGTAACTGAAGAACAGTAATAGACAATATGCATTAGATGAATTGACATATTTAAAAATAAATAATTACTATTTATTTAAATAGATAAACTAGCATATATTTCAGAATGCCCAAAAAAGGTTGTTGAACCTTGTTTTTTGTTATATGAGGAGAATTTTTATTCACGAAAACATGACATAAATCTATATATTTAATACATTCTCGAATAACTAAGAGTCCCAAATATTTACAACAACATTATTTATAACTTAGGTGATCAGGATAAAATCTCTTCATTCTGTGTGTGCAAGGTTCTGTAATTTCTTGTTTTGTCAAAAAAAATGTGTTGTTATTCATATTGCTAGTTTGAGAATACATCTGGGTGAAAAATATGCAGTATATCCCAATCTTTATATAGTTATTTATTATGAGTAATATTCAAGAGCCTCCAATTCCTAATGAATGCTTGGTAAATTTCCTTTTTGTTGAGCTATTAAGTAGTGATGCGTACCCATAGATTCTAGTGGAGATTGATAATTTGGTCACACTTGTTACCCAACAAATGTTTCATTTATTGTTTAGAAAGCTTGGCCTTTATTTATTTACTTGTCTGTTTGTTGTTTGTTTTATTCATTATTTTTATATATTATTTGTATCTATATTATATTTGTATCTTTATTATTTGTATATATGTATTGTAGCTACACATATAAATCCATTCTTGTTGCATGTTCAAGAAATATGAAAGAGACTTATGAAGCAATATAACTTTACCTCCATCCCATAAACCCTAAAATGGGTTGCTATAAAATACTAGTAGCTTGTTATAAAGAATGCCAGTGGATTGTTATAGAATAGAAGTAAGTTGTTGATAAAAATGATATAAAAACAAAATTAAAATTTTTATATGCAAAATGTAAATTTTTTCCATTGTCAAATGGGTTCTTAACATCTGTCTGTATAAATTATAAACAATGAATTTAGCGTTAACCACTTTAGATTTATAAACTTGAAATGTATTGACTTGTATTTAATATATAGTTATTAAGCATTTTAATTTTTTTTTTAATTTTTATTTTCATTATTTATTTATAAAGTGTAGATACAACAGCTGACAAAGCAATAGGCGGAACATACTTTAACAAGGGATTTTGGGATATGATTTAAACAGCAAGTAAACTAATGCATGATTAATAAACAATCATGTCAGATTATATCAGATCACATCAAATTATAAATCTGTTTATGATATATTGTAGTTCTTACTTAATAAACTAAAAATAACTTGGTAAAATTAAATGTAGTTATATTAATATTAATTATTAGTATTAAATTATTTATGTTTATTAAATTAATACAAAATAAATATATTTATAAAAAATAAATATATTTATAAAATTGATGAGTGCCATGTTTATATTTGTTTTCTCAATTGCATTTAAAAAGTGTCAGAGAAAAAAAAACTGTTAGAATTATAAAGAATATCATTTTTTCAATTTTTTTTAATGATTATTTAGAATCCAGCACTCTTATCATGATGATGCTTCAAGATTTTATCATATGCTAGCTAAAAATAGTGAACTTGGGCTTCAGAAAACAGATTTTGAAGGTCTTTTACAGGTTCAAATATCTCTTTTCATATTAAATGTCTGCAGCAGTTTAGCTTATATCACAACAAGAAAGGTTGATCAGTTTTCTATCAGAGAAAGTTTTTTCAGGTTTTTTTTTGTTTATGGTAAAATTTATTTGATGCCCAAGTTTATTCTTGTTGAAACTAAAATCTTTTATACAAGAAAATTAAAAATATATATATATATATATATATATTTTCTTAATTTTTATTATATTTTCTGCAAATATATGAAAAAGTAATGTGAAATGTAAAAAAAAAAGGAAGAAAAAAAGGTACCGTCATTAATTATTAGAATATCTTTTTTTTTTTTTTTTTTTTTATTTTATTTGCATTCACTCCCAACAAGGCTGCAAGCAACCACTATTAAGTTGGGAGTTTCTAGGAAAAAAAACAACAGACTTATAGAGCAAGGAAATCGTTGACAGAAGACTTGAAAAGTTGAAGGTTGTATGAGTCAGGAAAACATGAAGATGGGAGAGAGTTCCAAAGGATTGAAGTGCGGGGAAAAAAACTAGATGAATAAAAGTTTTTAGAGCATGCAGGGACAGATACAGTAAACGAATGAGACTTAGCTGAATGACGAGTAAAACGAGAATGAATTTTAGTTGATGGAACTAGAGATGATAACTCCTTTGAGCAGTGACCATGATAGTATTTGTAGAAAAGAGAAAGAGATGCAACTTTACGACGATGGGAAAGAGGCTTAAGCTTAGCAGATAGTCCAGGTCCAACAACATTTACAATGTGTTTTTGGACCTTGTCAAGAAGAGAAAGTGAATCTTTAGAATAACCAGCCCAAATATGACAACAGTATTCCATACAGGGACGAATAAGAGATTTGTAGAGGTAGAGAATGGAATCAGAAGTAAGGAAATTGCGAGCACGATAAAGAGAAGCAACCTTAGCAGAAGCTAATTTAGCAATTGATTATATATATGGTTTCCATGAAAGGTCAGTAGTAAGCGATAATCCAAGAAGACGTAAAGAGGAGGACTCAGCAATAGCCCTAGCTTCACCGCCTCCATCTAATGCACGATAAAATCTTTCAGTTACAGCAGTTAGCAAGTCGGCCCTAGAGCGAGAGGATCGAAAACCGTATTAATTGTCTGACAGTAGTTTATTTGACTCAAGATGAGATGTGAGGAATTTGTTAATCAAAGACTCAAAAACCTTGCAAATAACAGAAAGAAGGCTGATCGGGCGATAATTGGAGGGGTCAGAATTTTCTCCAGAGTTTTTGAATATTGGAACCACAGATGCCATTTTCCAACAAGCAGGATAACAAGACTCAGTCAAACACTTGTTAAATACTTTAGAGAGAATTGATGAAAGTTCTGGAGAACAATTCTGCAAGACTGTGACAGGAATGTTGTCTGGACCACAAACTGTAGACGAGTTTAATTGAGATATGACTTTAGCAACAGAAGCCGGAGTGATTTGAATGTCTAACAATGGGTCAACCTGATTGACTGGAATGGAAGGAAGAGAATGTCCATAAGGTTCAAGAGTGGAATTAGAAGAAAAGTTCTTTGCAAATAGTTCTGCGTTATCCTTGGGAGAGGTAATAAGATCAGTCCCATGAATGAGAGATGGATTGTTAGATCTACCCTTGTTAATAATGCTGTTGAAGATTTTCCAAAAGTCTTTAGAGCCTAACTTCTGTGATAAGATGCGAGATTTAGTGAACTGAGAATAATGGAGTTTAGCATCAGAAAGCACCTTTTTACATCGATTTCTTGCAATAATAAATAGCCGTTTGTTCTCAAGAGAGTTGTTCTTTTGAAAAAGATGAAAAAAATGATTATGATTGGATATAGCAGCCGCACAAGTAGGAGAAAACCATGGAGTAGAATGAGGCTTGACTTAAAACGGACGAGAAGTAATAAAAGCTTCCATTCCAGCCTGAATCCAGGAAGTTACGTAGGAGGTGCATTTATCAGCTGAGAGAGAAAAAACATCAGCCCAAGGACCATCACGAAGAAAATCACGAAAAGAATCCCAGTCAGCTTTAGGGTAGTAGTAGGTGGTGCGATGATAAGGTGAGCCCAAAAAAGAAGTACGAGAAGGTGATTTAATGCCATTCAATGTGATAGGCATTAAATCACCAGCAACAACAATATTGGCAGAGGGGTAAAGAGAGAGGGCATGATCAATTTGATCAGAGATAACATCTAAAAGAGTGCAATCATGGGAAGAAGGAGAACGATAAAGAACAAAGAGAAAGGTGATAGAGTGAAGAGGTGCTAGGCGAAAGCACATAAAAGAATGGTCAAAGGATTCGAACCTGATTTCACGACAAATAGGGGAATTAATGTGATGGATGAATTAATGGGATGGTTTTTTAGGTTTAAAATTTTTGGTTACTTTGGTCATGATTTGGGTTTAATGAAAACTTGACTCATTCATAGATAGAGCACAGCCTCCTAATCAATGAGCTATGTAGTTGTCTCAGTCCTGTTAATTAGCCCTAAGCCGTGACATAGGGCTCCTTATGTTTTGGTGTGCCTTGACAATGCACACCAAAAGCATTAACAGGGACACCATCCATGCGCAACATGGCACTGTTAATAATCTGATATTTTGCAGCTGTTGATGGAATCAGCCTCTCTGAGAGCTACACAGAGTTCGGGAAACCTTACTACCAGCCGGCCTCAGAACCATTAAACTGAGTTTTAGAGCTGTACCCTCATATGGAGATAACAGGAAGAGTTGCATAGCCATTATCAAGGAGGCATAAGCAAAATTCTATTAGTAGAGTCAAGGAGATCCAGCATTCATCATTCTAGGCAGGAAACAATGTAACACAGGTTACATCTACGCCAGCCTAATAGATGAAGAAGGGGTTCGAGGCTGGTAAGTCTTTGCCTAGGAGACCTTCTACAAGACAGTAGCTGGATGCAGTTAACATCTGCCCAAGATGAGTATTTTTATCGAGACACCATCTCTAGCCTTTACTCAACCAAGAGCCCCAAGGCAGGGGATGTTTAGCTGGATGCAGTTAACATGTGCCCAAGATGAGTGTTTTTATCGAGACACCATCTCTAGCCTTGGGCTACTCAACCAAGAGCCCCAAGGCAGGGGAATTTTTAGTCGGAGTTTATTTCTCCTAGCCTTTGCCTAAGAAGAGCACACTCTGCAAGGCAGCAGGGCTTGCGGCAGGTGGTACTGTGTTACGTGATACCAGTAGCAAGATTGATCTTGATTATCCTGACCTGACCTGGAGTAGTTAAAAGGAATTACTTCCCGCAACAATACTTTGAGAAAACCAGACATGACATTTTGGAAGTGCATTAGGAAAAACACTGCAAGGTGAGTAAGTAGCTAGTTACTGAGCTCACGCTGCATCAGAGAATAGACAGAACACAAACAAACATAAATCAACTTACGGGTGAGTCAACACCGCGCCAGAGGTTCAGACAGAACACAAACATACATAAAAAACATAAAGTAACTTACGGGTGAGCAAACACCGTGCCAGAGGTTCAGACAGAACATAAACATACATAAAAAAACATAAGAAACATAAAGTAACTTACGGGTGAGCGAACACCGCGCCAGAGGTTCAGACAGAACACAAACATACATATAAAGTAGATTACAGGTGAGCTAATACAGTAACTAAGGCACCTCTAAATATATAAAGAAAAAAAAAAAAAAATCTCAGAAGCTTTTGACATCAAAATTTGGTATAAATGTCAAGGATGGGAAGTTCCTGATTGAGTTCAGTGGTTCTGAGTTCACAGAGCTCTGAATCTTGGAGTTAAAGGACTTTCTAACCAACTGCTAAATTGCTAGGCTTTAACTAATAGGCTGGTTTTTATTGTATCACACAATTTTATTTATTTTGCCAAACTTTCATTTATTTAGTGTGAACATCAGTCACTAAGTTAGATTCAGTGAATGATGTATGAAAGTTATATGGTAACTTTTTCAAAAGTGGGAGGGGGTAACCTGTTCACAAATTAAGATTTTTTGAATATAGTTAACACAAGAGCAACAAGAAAAGTTTATATAATCAAGAAAATGACAGGACTGAATAGTTAAATGTTTCACAATAAAAGTGAGAGAGATGTTTGTTTCTTTACTTTTTGTGGGTAATACTAATTCGCGGAAAATAAATCCGCGGAAAGTTTTGTCGTTTTTTGTCGTTAAATTTAATGTAAACCCGCAATTAAAGCTATGAAACAAAATGATAATTAGCGTTCAAATCCTGCACTACGTAACAAATGTATAAAAATTAAACATAATATTTGAGAAGCTAACGTTTTTTTAAATTAAAGATATCTTTCAAGTTAAATTTTTAAAAAGTTACGACTCATTACTAGGAAGAAACCATTTTTTCACAGTTTTTAGAACTGTACCTGATGGCCTACCTCATTATAAAAAAATCCTATGAAATATGGTTGGGCATCCCATACAGTTAAGAAAAACTCTCAAAAAAATGGTTTTCTTTCTAGTAATAAGTCGTTTTAATAACTTTTTGAAAATTTTTAAAAACGTTAAAAAAATAAGTCGCCAAGGTTCGTTATACTTTCTATCAGTTTTTTTTGCAATAAAATGAGGTAGGCCATCAGGTACAGTTCTAAAAACTGTGAAAAAAATGAATTCTTCCTAGTAATGAGTCGTAACTTTTTAAAAATTTAACTTGAAAGATATCTTTAATTTAAAAAAACGTTTGCTTTTCAAATATTATGTTTAATTTATACATTCGTTACGTAGTGCAGGATTTGAACGTTAATTATCATTTTGTTTCATAGCTTTAATTGCGGGTTTACATTAAATTTAACGACAAAAAAAAACAAAACTTTCCGCGGATTAGTATTACCCAATTTTGTTGAATTTAATAACTTCTCTTTGTTATATTCTAGGATATAATTAACACTCATCCCGGTCTTCAATTTCTACAAGAAGCACCAGAATTTCATTCCAGATATATTACAACTGTAAATAATGTTTTTAAAATTTGAATTTTATTATACAATGCAAAATTTTTATTATTTTTTTATTATTTTGTTTAATTATTTTAGGTTATTGCAAGAATCTTTTATATTTTAAATCGATCATATAGTGGAAGTATTACACTAGTTGAATTGCGGAGAAGCAATTTTTTATTGGTGATTTTCTTTTGCATTTATTACACACAAAATATATAACTCCGAAACACAAAACTCAATAAAAAAGGCCGCTGCATGGTGAAACAAGTTATTACACACAAAATAGCTTTTCATTATCATTTTTCTTTTGTAACCTTTGTTTTTCAGGCATTAAAACGTATTGAAGAAGAAGAAGATATAAATCTGGTTAGTTTTATTTATTTTTTTTGATTAATTTATTTTTTAATTAAACTTTTTAAATGACAAATTTTCAATCTCTATAGTTGCTTAGCAACCTGACTATTAGGCTATACTTTTTCTTAATAGGTGATTGATTATTTTTCTTATGAGCATTTTTATGTCATATATTGTAAATTTTGGGAGCTTGACACTGATCATGATATGTTAATCAATAAACAAGATCTTTCTAAGTACTCAAATGGAGGTAATATCTGTCATTACTATATTTGCGGGAATATTTTTGTTAAAGGTTTGATTTTATAACATCTAAGAACTGCGTTATGTTAAAGAAACAATATCTTTTTTTTTTTTGATTTTTATTTTTATCTCTCTTAACTCACAACATCCAAAACATCAACTTTGAAAAACTTTAAAAAACAACAAGTTGAGAGTGAGAGGTACAAGTTGAGAGTGAGAGGTACAAGTTGAGAGTAGAGGTACAAGTTGAGAGTGAGAGGTACAAGGTTTGAACTTGTACTTCTTTCTCATACAAATATTTTGATTTTATTAAACGAGTTACTAAATAAAAATTACTAAGCAAGTAAAAAGTTAAGTTGAATTTATTTAGTTATTCAATTGAATAAATTGTTTTAGTTTATTTAATTTGTTCAAAGTTATTTATAATTGTTAAATATAGTCACAATATTTATATTTATTTATTTAGTAATTTCAAAAAAGATGATTAATCGTTTATTTGATGGTGGCGTTACAAGGTTGATTTATTTCAGTTTTTCTATTTCAATTTTTTGATTGTTTATTTGTTTTTATACTGAATTTTTTCTTTTTTCTTTTTTACTAATGCAACAGGTTAGATTAAAAATTTTTTTTCTTTTACTTTTTTTTTTTTTTTTTTTTTTGTTTACCTTATTTTAAATGTTAAGGAATTGCATAAAAGATGGGAAAATGACTTATGAAGGTTTTGTTTGGTTTATTCTTTCGGAGGTAGATAAGAATACACAAAGTGGGTTAGTTTTCTTTTTTTTTTTTCATATTTATTTTATTCAAAAGTGTAATGAATGCTCCCAATAATAATTTATTTAATTTATATTCATTTTATTTCAATATTTCACTATTAATCTCTTTATTAAAATAAAAAGGTTATTTTATTTAAGCAAACATATTTTTCTTTACCATATTTTATTTCAGCCAAATATATAGAATTTAATAAAATCTGTAATGAATAAGTGAAATGCTTTATTCTTTACGTTTAATGTCCAAAAATGCACAAAAATTTTTTTGTATTTATGGATATTAACCATTATGGACAAAAATGTTACTAAATTACATCAAAATATCAATTGCAAGTTAACTAAAAAAATATAGAAATTTTATGATTACAAATGTTATGGAGACTTTATTTTGCTTCCATTTTTTTCAAAAATACAAAATAGTTTTTTTTTTTCAACATTTGATACAATTTAATACATGCTTGTGCAAGGAATTTTAACTGAAGATTTTACTCTAAAATTTGCTAGTAACAATTATTTTTCTGCGTGCCTTTTTTTTGTTAAACATTTATAAATTTTAGGCACAACCCCTTAGCTTTTAGGTTTCATAAAGAACCATTTCAATTATTCAAAAAAACAATAAAAAGGCATTAATTTTTAGGCTTCATAAAGAAACTCCTTTTCTCCTATAATTCTTGTAAATAATTTACCAAGGTCACTGATTCAGGTGGCCAAATTATAATAGTGACACTTTACTTTTTTACTAATTTTTAAGTTTAAACTACTTTAGTGAATAAATATTATATATAAAAATATCTTGTAGTTATTTTTTATCATTTTTATCATTAAATGGCTTTGTTTAGAATATAAAACAACATAATTACTTCTTCATAGCTATTTATTTTTTTATAAAAAGTTTTAAAATAACAAATAAGATAATAATTTAAATATTTTGTAATGCAACCCTTTGCTACAATAACGGTTCTCAGACATTGGGGCATGCTTTCTATGCGTTGTCCCGGAGACTGGGTTTGTTATGCTACTTTCTAATAATGCTTTCTATTTAAATGAAGATCTCTTTGGTAGTGATGATCTCTTCGGCAATTTCCTGTTTTGCGAATTTTGATAGATCTTCTATGGGGTTCATGTCAGGTAAATTCCCCGGGCCAGGCAAAATGCGCACATTTTTTTCAGCTAGGAATGCTGTAACGCTCTTAGCTTTATGGCATGGTACTGAGTCATGCATGAGCATATTCATTACCAGGGAACCATTCTTGAACCTGGGGCAGGAGCCTGTTTTCCAGTACTTGCTTGTACTAGTCCTGCCTTATGGTCCCTTCTACAATGTAGAGGGAACCTATGACTGAGATCACAGACCACACCATTACACTCGCAGTATGTTAGACAAATGGGTTTTTTGTCCAAGATTTGAAATGTTGACTTGTCCAAGAAGCAGACTTGTAAAACATCACAAAAATATTTTAAATTGTAAAACTATAATTTTTTAGGGTTATAAATAACATTATAAGTCATAATTACTCTACTCCAGTCATTTTCTGGTGTTCTCCTTATAAAAACCTTCTCCCAACCGTCCTTTTGATTCTTTCATTGTTTATCATTGTAGCTAGAGGAGCCACATTTTTTTTTTCTTTTTTTAAGACAGATGTCATTAATTTTATAGTCACAACGTGGAGTAGTGATCTTTTTTCTGTCACTTATGCCGATGCGGTCTGTTTCTAGGGGCACATTTGTATCAATTTTTTTTTTTGATTTGGTTTACTATTTTGAAACACTTGTAATTGCTGCTATCTTTCTCTGAGAATTTACGAATCAGGATTTATGCATTAAACTTAGCAAAAATAATGAATTATTAACCATAACTAATTAAATTATTAACCTTACATTTCGTTAATCTTGAACTCAAAAAATTTGCAAAAAATTGTTCCTAAAATGAATAATTGAACTCAATTTTGAATTAACTCCACTTCTTTCTTTCCAATTTCGAACTAATCACACTTTTCAACAACTATTAACTAATTAATACTACTTAGTTTTAAATAGTATATAAATAATTTTTAATTTAGTTTAATTTAGCTACCTCATTACTTCCTCAGGAAAATAAAAAGAATTAATAAGAAATTGCTTTTTTAAATAACTACGTGATGTAATTTGCCTTCGGTTACTAACTAGACATAACTTTAAAAAAAATTGTTACAAAACTTAATTTTAAAACCTTGTTGCAAAATTTTATAACAATGGAATGTATAAAAAATTTGCTTTTTTGAAAGTTAAAGGGCTTTTAAATATCCATTCAGCTTAAGGTTAATTTTTGTTTCAGGCAATTAGGAGTAAACTGCTTTTGACAATAAATGAACAAAACTAAAAAATATCAGTCCTTGTAACTATCGCGCAAGTTTAATTTTTAAATCAATAAACTTTTGATCTTTAGCTTTCTATTTTAGTTTATGCGAGGAAAATGAAAAAACAAAGTATAAACTTTTTCAGACAGTTTTTTTTTCGTTCAATATTTTTTTTTAAATAATATTAAAAAAAGGTTACAATAACTTAATAAAAATTTTATTTAAATCTGTTTAAAATAACCCATAGTAAATGTAATTTATTTATTCCAATATAATTTTTTAAATTATTCTGAATAATATATTTTTTTAAAATTAATGTTTTTAAAAATATAATATGGTTTTTAATCAAAATAATATAATTTTTTTAAAATTAAGTTTACTGTAATTATCTCTTTAATTATCTTTAAAATCAGCGCCTTAAAATCACTTTAAAATTTATAACCTTTAGTAAAAGTTAAATGAACAGATTTACTAATATTTAAACCAAAATTTTAATTTTAAAATAATAGAAAATAAGTTTATTAAATGCTTATGTTTTTATTCGAATAGTTTATTAAATACGTTTATTAAATGCTTATCGAATTTGTTTATTAAATGCTTATGTTTTTAATTCAAATACAAGACGTAAAACTATTTTGTTAATTTTACAAATATTACGCTATATAAAATATGTAAATTACTATGTAATGTAAATATTGGTTAAAAATTGATTAAATATTTTTAATTATTATTTTAAACAATTTTCAATAATTATTTACTGATAGCGTGGTATATGCAACAAAAGCGTTTATTAAAATCTTAAGTAAAATAGTTTTCTTTTAACTAAAGTAACATCGTCCACCAGTAAATTCATGTATTCTAAAAATGCCTTTAAATCAACACCTTATTATAGAATAAAACCAAACAAGATAAACATAAATGATTATTAAGAAAATGATGATTAAAAATTATTGTTGCAGCATCCGTTCAACTAAGGGAGAGTGAGGGTGAGGGGGAAATCAAAAACATAATCCACCCCCCTCCCTCAACGTTGCTGGAAAAAAAACGGTATCCCCAAATAAACTCTGGGTTCTTCACTGCACACACCCCTAGGGGTTGCACCATACATAACAATTTTTGCGAAAAAATAAAAAAAATTTAATTTAAATATCTTAGCAAGTTTATTTAATTCATGTAATACAAATTTCTAAGTTTTTAGTTATATATATATATATTTTTTTATATCTTTAGTATAGATTTTTAGGTCCTATATTAATCTGAAAAATGTTACTTTATAAAATTTATGTTGATTTGGAACAGTTTGTACATGTTGATGTAAATATTAATATTATTTTATTAAATTCATTTTAGCATCTATATTTGTTATATATTTTATAATATATATGTTTTAATAGTAATTTTATAATATATATTATTATTAAAAATTATTAAGTATTATTAATAATAAAAAAACAACTCACTATATCGTGGCAGTGTTTCATACATGCAGTAATACTGACAACTTAACATTTGGGCGAGATTTCCATTAGCAATGACTCCTACAAAAAGAGATATAAAATATTGCTTACATACAGTACATGTACTGTATGTATTTATGTACACAGAAATGAAGATGCTAAAGGCAAAGGTTATGTTCTGCTCACGAATATTACCGATTAATTACTACAGAAATTGAAAAGATATGGTGTAAATTTAGTTTTTCAACAATCGAAGTTAAAGAAGTTTTTTCAAAAGTATGTAGATTAATGGAAAAGCTTCCAATTTATTTAATTTTTCGAATTTATTTTTCAATGTACATTAATGGAAGCAATTAAAATAAAATTTCAAAACATGGAAGAAATGATAATTTTTATGCCAAATTATTAGTTTTTGACAAAATGTTTGATATATGTTTGTGCAATTGTTATAGTGCAGGAGTAGAAAGAGAAAAATGCAGATGTACTTTTAAAGTGCCAATAAAAGAATGGGATGTGTTTGTTGGACAAAAACAATGCAAAACTCAACTTGATCATACTTTTAAAAACTAAAACATGAAAAAAAAATTTTATCAGGGCAATAGCAGTTAAATACAGATAAAAATGTTGAGAATGAGATAGATCATATTGTTAATGATTATTTGTATGAGAGGGAAGTATCAAATTAGATAAATTTAATAATGTAAATGACAAACTATATGAATCTGGTGGAGAGATTAGTAAATGTAATCTAAATAGGATTTTTTGCAATGAACTAGCAATCGCAGCAGATCGTTATCATGTCAATTGCAGAATAACTGCTGCTTTTGTTAATGCTTCTCTAAAAAACATGGGAATACTAAATGAAGCAAATATGTTAGATAGGAAAAAAGAGAAAATGTGAAATTTAAAGTTACAATCTATTGGTTTTGATGTAAGAAAAGACAAAACAATAAAAATTGCAGGCACTGTTAAAGAATAACATATTACACTAGTTGGAAAACCAAGCATCAGCTATATCAGATAATACCCGATAATGGATCTTCTCTCTAAATTCCTGATGAAATTCTCCATTTAATATTTGAAACTGGCAATAGCGGTTCTTAAAATACTATCTTTTGTCATGCAACTGTAATAAACACTGGTAAGTTTAGAGGAGTGATAAAACTAATATAAACAGTACTTGATAGACAAATCCAGTGGCTCAAATAAACATCCATTTAAATACGTGTTTAAGTTGATTGATGGAAAAAATTCTGGCCCAACATTATTTAAATGAGATATTGGTAAAAAATAACAGAAGACTTAACTTTTTTAACAATAGTTCCTTTTGAAAAAATTAAAGGTGCATTTCATTTACTTTCTGATAACATAATCAGTACATTAAGCACAGATCAAACATAGTAAATGTTTCTCCATCAAACATAGTAAATGTTTCTCCTGGAAACATTTACTATGTTTGATGGCTCACAGAAGCAAACCGTGTTCTACCTTTATATATTTCTACAATAATGCCAACAAAAGAACTTGTTGACTTAGTTACAATCGTTATGCAACCCTATGCACCAGGATGGTTCCATATAAAATTACATTGTTTGGCCACAAATGGCACTGAAAATTTATGATATCTAGCTCAGTTAATAAGAAATTCAGTTATTGATGTAAATACAAAGATGTAATGGAACAAGTTTTAATGCAAAACTCATAATTTCCAGAATACTGAGAATATATTTTGGTAATGGTAAATTATGAAAGAAAATAAGTTAGAACTGCACCCATACAAAGGATGCTTAAGTCCAGTAATACTAACAAAATAGACATTTTAAACTTCCTGCAACTCTAAATCTTGAAGCCAAAGATTACAGTGAATCTGTAAGTTGAGACATTAAGGTTAATTCACCACCTTTACTGAGTGTCATTTCAAATGAAGATATTATGAAAGCCAATGGCAGTCCATTGAGTGTTCCAAAATATCCTTGTCATAGTCGAAAAAAGGAAGGAATTGTTTGAATAATTATAAAGGCAACAGAAATTAGATTTAGCTATGAAAAGCATCATAAATTTCTAATAAACTTGTTGGGATCTAGAGGGGAAATGTTTGATTGGAAAGCGCAATGGCAAACAAAACATTGAAATAAAAGTATAAACAAAAATAGTTTTATTTGTATACAGGCCTCGGCGGGAATAAATAAGTGCAAAAGCAGAGAAAAGTTCTCCTAAAATGACAGGCCTTGTTTATATATTGTTTGTATAAATTCAAGATCTACACCCAAAACTGCATAGAGTACTATAAAAGATCTTAACCTGAATTATATAAAAGTCATCAAAATATCAGATGATTGGGATAACTTAATTTGACCCTTAGCCAATTTACTTTTAAACACAAAATTAGCTTTTTTTACTTTTAAACAACAATCACCTTTTAAAGACTTTAAAATAACTCAGTTTTCAATTGTGATTTTAAATAGCAATTATACAATAATTGATATTCAAAAGTGACTTTTTTAAATGGCAGTTTGCATTGGTGTCACTGTTTTTATCCTTATTTTGCTGAATTAAGTAGTTGTTCTTAAATAGTTATTGTTTTTTGATATGCAAAATTGAACATAGTGAATATATAAAAAATAAGATAAACTAAATATATTTATTTTTTACTGACAGAATAGAATATTGGTTCAGATGTATGGATTTGGATGGAGACGGCATTATTTCCATTTATGAAATGGAGCATTTTTATCAGGACCAACTTATCAAAATGTCAGATATGGGAATAGAAGCTTTAAGTTTTAATGACTGCTTATGTCAGGTTGAAAGTTTTGGTACTACTAATTTTGTTTATTTTGATTCAATAAGTCAGAAATTTTGTTTATTGTGATTCAAAAAAGTTTTAAAAGTTTGTGATATTAAAACTAAAAGTGATTTATTGTTTTAAAAGAAACTTGTCAAACTGATGACACATGAGTAATTGTTTTATTTTCTAAATATTTAAGTATTTTGTAGACATAACTACAACTATGAATATCACTTGTAACTACCAACATCATTTGAAACTATTAAGATCACTTGTAACTATGAACATCATTTGTAACTATGAACATCACTTGTAACTATAAACATCACTTGAAACTATGAACATCATTTGTAACTATGAACATCACTTGTAACTATGAACATCACTTGTAATTATGAACATCACTTGTAACTATGAACATCATTTGTAACCATGAACATCACTTGTAACTATGAACATCATTTGTAACTATAAACATCACTTGTAACTATAAACATCACTTTTAACTATGAACATCATTTTCAACTATGAAAAAAAGCATAATAAATCAAATAAAAATTAATTTTGCTTAAACATAACAAACCAAATGAAAATTTAGTTTGACAAAGCATAATGAATCAAATAAAAATAGTTATATAATTGAATTGTTTATAAAAAGTTTTTGTGATGTAATGTCACAGTTTACATAACCCAGTGGGTTATATACACTGTGAAGGTGCGTCGTCTGCAGACATCTAGTAAGACGTCTGACGGACGTCCCCTGGATGATGCATGCCCACTGGAAATGGCATGTTTTACATTAAAAAAAATTTTTTAATATTATTCACCTTCCCAAGGATGCCTTATTTTTGTTACCTCTCTCAACTCTTTACCTCTCTCGTTATCTCTCTCAATGTTACAACTTTCAACTCAACTCTGAAACATGAAGCTTGATGAACTAGGTGGCTGTGTGGAGAAACAAGTTTAGCATGGTATTACCAGGGCATGGTGATCAAACTCAGAACTTCTTGCCTTTACCACTACTACACAATAATGTACCTTTTAATGTTATTTTGTAAGTTATGTAAATAATAAAATGCATTATGTTTTTATATTTGTTATTATTTTTAATAAACTCTAAAAAGTTTTTTGAATTAAAAACTTTTTATAGTCTTTTAAAAATAATAACAAATGTTAAAAAGTAATCTTGTTTATATTATTTTGTTATTCTTTATACTATTTATCTTTTTTCTTTTGTGAAAAATTAAAAGTTTTTTCTAATTTATAGATTTTGGATTTAGTAAAACCAGAAAAAGATTCTATGATTACTCTTCGTGACATTAAAAAATGCAAGCTTGCATCAGTTTTTTACAATACTTTTTTTAATTTTAATAAATGGTTGGAGCATGAACAAAAAGATCCAATTCAACTATCGAAAGTAAGTAATAAATATTTAAAGTGTTCATTTTATACATTATAAAGTCTTACTGATATGAGTTACCGTACTAATATCAGTTACCTTACTGATATCTCAAAATAAATTGCAAAGTATAATATTTTTCATATTTTATGTTTTTTCATGTTTCTTTTTTACAAATATAATTTCCCTGTTTTTTTTTTTATTTTTAATTCTGACCAGAACTAATGTAAACAAATTAATACAAATTAATAAAAAAAAAAAACTTGATATAATTATATAGTCACATAAGTAATATTACATCATTATCAAGACCACTAATTAAATTGATGCAGAAATACCACAACCACACCATAGTAATAAAGTAGTTAATTCTGTATAAATTGTATAAATTATTAACTTGCATGATTTACAGAGATCACATAAAATGCAACAAACTTGTTTGATCAAATAAGTAGTTGAGTTAAAGTTTTTAGTTAAATTGTAAAAAATTGAAGATATTACATTGAGAGCTGTAACAACAATCAAAGATAATTTGAGCAAAAAATTATCTTTAATGACTAAATCCTATTTTGTAGTAATCGCTTTTAAGGTTGCCAATTTTTTTTCCAGCAATAAGTCAAAAATAAAAAATAAAATAAACCAGAACAAAAAAAAATGAAATACAAAATAAACAACAAAAAAAAGTAGTTGAAGCAGAACTTTTTTATTTAAAAAATTCACTTAAATCTATTTAAATACAAATACTTTATTTGAAGGTTACCTTTGAAGGTTACCTTTGAATTTAAATATGGCATTTTCAGGAAAATTTAGCACCAAAGTCAATACAGTGAAGAAGGATTATAGGACCCTTGGTATATAAAAGATGATGCTTCATGCATATTTAGTTCAGCAATCTATTTTTCTGGATCAATATTTGACCCTTGAAAGAAAGCGTTTAGGCACTCAAACTCAAGACTTAAGTGAGGAAAATAAAGTAGTGATAAAGTTGCTTTGAAACATTTTGCTGATTGATGAGATCTTTTATTGCATTTAGTTCTTGCCAATTAACAAGCAAGTTATAAAAACACTTTCCTCCAACCAACCAACCAACAAGTTGCAGAAAACTTCTGGAAAGGGAGTAAGGTTCACACACTTTCATTGTTTGGGTTAATGAGTTCAAATATAGTTTAGTTAGCATTTGACTGAATTATGTATGACATTTGAAGCACTATATGAACTGATGCAGTTTTTCAGTTTTAACACAAGGGAGTGGAGTTTATAAGTTGTTAAGATCACTTGAATGAAAGATATCAACAATCTTACAAAAATTGCAAGGTGCTTGGTTGATTCACATCAGTTGATTTATCAATGAGAGTGGAAAATGGCTTAGATTTTTTAAGAAACTTTTTCTTCAAGAGTTGAAAAAATGACCTTTATTTTTTACTTTAGTGCACTTAGTACAGAGAGTTTTAGATGTTCAAGGGGACTGTCTAAACAATACTAAGAATTAGTTTTGCTTGGTCAGCTGTTGAAGTTGCTGAGTGACAATAGATACACAGCAAGTTAAATATTTGCTTTTTTGTTTGCATCTAATTTTTATTTGACCCAAAAAATTAATATTCAATGCTATGGAGCAAAAAAAAAAGTTTAATATGTTTAATTCTTACAGAATTAAATATGTTCGACATCCTGTAGGTCAATGAAACAATGTTAAATACCAAGTTTCTGCAGTGAAGCATGGTGGTGATTTAGTAATGGTTTTGATCATGTTTTAGCCGTGACGGAATAGGTCAAATATATCAACTCACTATGGACAAAAACATATATTAGGGAATAATCAAGGACAAAATGCTGCCACATGCAAAGAATAAAATGTTGCATGGTTGGACTTTCCAACATGACAACAATCCGAAATGCATCCAAACTAGTCATGGAATTCTTTGTCCAAAAGAAAGATGAAGTCTTGGAATGGCCAGCACAATCTCCAAACCTGAACTCAATTGAACCTCTTACGTAGCACTATTACTTAGGTAGCACTTAAATAGTATTATTTACATTCATAAGCCAACTAATCAACAGGATTTATTTGTGTTGATTAGACGCTCTAGAGAAATACCAGTTGATGTTTTATAATTAATTTGATTGATTGAATGCCACATAGATGCTTATCATTGGTTTTCTAACAAAGTACTAGCATTAGGTACAGATTATAAACTATATTTAACAGAATGTAACATGTAACATATATATATATATATATATATATATATATATATATATATATATATATATATATATATATATATATATATATATATATATATATATATATATATATATATATATATATATATATATATATATATGTATATATATATATATATATATTATATAACATAAAAATCATCATAAAAAAGTGCTGAAAATGTATCATTTGTATAATTTAATAAGTAAATTAATTTTAAAAAGTTAATTCAATGTAAGAATATATCAAAAAAGCTGTTTGTTCAATTACTTTTGGATGCTACTGTATACACATAATTGCATTAAGTTTCTATTTCCATTTTACTATGTTTCTATTTATTTTCAATATAAAATCTTTAATACGTTAAAATCTTTGAAGGACCTCGCATAGACGAAAATATTTTTTTAGTTGATAATTTTAGATTGCTGGACAAAGTGATAGTGTTTGGGATCAGTATGTTATTACAGAATATGAGTTGTTAGTCGCTGAAGAAGGTATCGCGCAGAATGAAAATGAGTATGTACCTCTTGTTTATGTGTTTATGTTTTATTTTTTGACAATATAAAAATATATTAAAAAAATATTAAATATTAAAAAAAAATGATAATTATAAAATCTTAATTTTTTGTCATAGTGACGAAGAAGAGCGCGACGAAGAAGAGCGCGATGACGTCTTTTACCAAACAAATAATTCGTTTGATGATTATGTTGGAGCTAGTTTCAACTTAATGGCAATGGTAACTAATAATCGGGATAGTGCATTTTAGCTTTCGTCTGATAAATTTGTGTATATATTTATATTATACTTTTTTTATTGATATAAATTTCTACTTCAATTGTATGAAAAAGTTTTTTAAACTATAAAAGGATATTTATGTTGTTGCCGAAAACCGACATCAAGTTTGTCGAGTGTTATTAATTAACATCGTTTTTAATAAATCTTTAATCTTTTAAAGTTAAGAAACAAAATGTTCAGAATAGAAAAATGAAAGTTTTTTTAATTTTAATGCAAGCTTCGCCAATATTTTTTGTCATTCGGAAAGAAAAAACGATTAACAAAAATTGAATTTTTATAAATTACAAAAGTTACATTGCCACTTCATAAGATTCTCTTTCTTATGCCAGATCAGCGAAAAGTCAGGGAATTCAAAAATCAGGGAATAATCAGGGGTTTCGGATCGAAATTTGGAATTATTCGGGAGAAATCAGGGAAAATGGCTCTTCATAAATCTTACATAGTTTACATTAAACTTATGTTAGTCGTATATTGTACAAAACATAAAATTTTATTTGGCAGATAGTTTTAAGAACTTCTCTTGGTACTTTAAATGTGGATTGTATTAATGTTTATATTTTTGCGATTAAAAAACGTTTTTCTAAAAGAATTATTACCTATTTTTCTGAAATGAAGTTTGATTAACTTTGAATAAAATTAAGGAAAACAGGTAGTGGATTAGGGGTAATCCATCTTAAAATAGTTCCAGGCACCCTGTATTAATATTATTACCATTTACTTTAGTTTGTATCAATAACAAACAAGCTAGCAACACCATATATAGAAAATGGAAACTTTTCATTGTAAATCTCTTCTTCTGCTAGAGCTTAGTCTTTAATTATTTTTTTAAAGTCATTTTTCGTAAAATTTAAATCAATTTCCTGAGAGGAATTATTAAGTCAGTCCTTTAGTTCTTGTTTTTGTCGAGGTTGTGTGTAAGATCATTTCTGATTATATTTAAGCTTCACTTTTTTTTTCTTCTATTGATCCACATTAAAAGAACCAAATTTTTCTTGTTGTTTCAGCGATTTTGTTTTCGGGTTTTTTAAAATATAACGTAATTCTTAATATAGGTTTTATATATATATATATATATATATATATATATATATATATATATATATATATATATATATATATATATATATATATATATATATATATATATATATAGCCAAGCAAACCAACTTAATTTAGTTTAGTCTTAAATTTATTTTTTCATTGGCGGTAGTAAACCTATCAGTTTCTCTGTTCGCTAATTTCTCAGATATTTTTTTCTAAGAAATTGTGTAGTAAAAACAAAACAAGCAGACCAGATCGCAGTCTCTAACCTCACTTGCAGTCTCTAACCTCACTTTCGCAGTGCCTAACCTCACTTTCGCAGTCTCTAACCTCACTTTCAAAATCAAATTGTCTCAATAATATTAATTGTCTGTTTTATTTCTACTATCATGGCCTACTATATTAATATAGTAGGCCATGCTACTATTATAATCAACTATGTTATGGATATATCTACGAGAGATTTTACAATAGAATTTCTTTATTTCAAGTTGAATTTCATGGGAATGTTAAATTTGGTAGTTAACTCTCATTTTTCGTTTCATTTTTTCGAAACAAAAAAGATTTGGTTAAGTTTAAAACAATTTCATATAACTTTAATAAAATTTATTTAAATTATTTGGACTTTTTTAAATCTTGATTTTCGATCAAAAGAGATACAACTCGCAGCTGTTAAAATGGTTATATGCGGCTACCACACAAAATGTATAAACAACATAGCCGCACATGGCCTTTTTATATAATAATACAAAAAATATTTATAAACTTTGGAATTTACCTGTAACTCTAAACTCTTTGCAAAAGTTCAATGTTTGCTCTGAGAAGTTAAAAATGAACAAAATTTATTAAATGGTAAGTTTTAATTCAAAAGTCTTTTTGTCTGATGATTGAAAATCTTTATTCATAGCTTTAGCTTTTACAATTTTTTAAGACTTTTTCATATATTACAGTCAAAAAGTCAGAGTGTTAATGGGCATTTTATTGTGCAATAATCAACATATCAAAGCTTACACCAACTTTGAAGTCCATTTGAAACCAACTCTTAGGAGAGAAAACATAATATTCGGTCAGGATAACAATCTCCATTTTTGCTAAGTCTAAAAACATCTGTCCAACAAATCTGATCATCCGTGCAACAACATCCAAAATTTCATTGGTTTATAATTATATCTGTCCAACAACATCCAAAATTTCATTGATGTATAATAACATTGCAACTGTCTAATAACCCTGCAACCCTGTATAATAACCATTGCAAATATATAATAACCCTACAACTACATCTGTAGATTTTTTGGATGTAACTACATCCAAAAAGTATATTTTTTAACAATGCACTAGATATAGTTACACATCTGATTTTTTTCGGATATAACTACGTCCGGAAATTTATTTCATTTAATAATGCATTATTTTAGGCGGATGTAGTTACACATTGAGAAAAACTCCAGGATGTAGTTTCTAAATATGTTATTAGACATCAGATGTTAGACAGATGTTAGTTCATGCATCGGCCCAACATTGGGCCAAATGCTCGTAGAAGACTAGGGAGCCATATTATAATAAACCTCTTTGGAGATCTCGCTTGCGTTAAATTCCTTATGGTTCATTAAGATAACCACTTTTTTTCCATTGTTTTACTCACAGCATCAGGAGCCGCATTGACATCATAATATCCAATTATGGAAAATTGCTTAGCCTGAACGGTAGGTTTATTTGGTCTCTCTTGTACTCTAAATTTCTTTCCATTATTAGTTTCGGTACTTTCTGAACAAAACAATGAAAATGATTTTTTAAGTTTTGTATAAAATCCACACATCTACTAATTGGTTTTATTAATTTTCTCACCGCTTTCTATTACGATTGTACAACTTTATAATATAGACAATCTAAATAGTTTCTTTGTAAAAAAATCAATTGTTGTGACTGATTGAAAAGCCTTGTTTTTAAAATGAATGACCTTTACAAACTAAAATGTTAGTTAAAAAAAACAAAGTAACAAATTTAAATAAGAAATAATCTTACGAACAGTGCTATGGCCAGAAGGTCCCCCCTTCCAACCTGTCTTTAGGGCGTTATAATCTTAAAACCCTTCCATTATTAGGTGTATTACTTAAAAAAAAATCTTTATATTTTGATAAAGAACCACTAAATTTGAAAAAGAGTCCGAAGAATCAGTTCGAGAACAGGTAACTACGGAAATTTTGTTTAATAAATTAAATTCCAAAACAATATTGTGTAGCATGTTATAAATAGAAACAGAGTTGCCTTTCTCTAATTTTTTCAATAGTATAACCAAAGGTTTAGACTTGACATGCAAGTGTTTTAATAATGTTGTTTGCCTATGCTCTTACCATCCAAATGTAAGCACCACAACTCTTCAGAAGATTTGATATAAGGTCGAATTAAGTTTAATTCATGCAAAAGTGTTGGAGATGCTTTTTGGATTGCGGATCTGCAAATCGATATTTCACCAACTGCATTACAGCTTCTGCAATCTTTGCCGTACAACTTATTGGATACCAATGATCTTTGCAGGTTTCAATAAAATTGTAATCGTCACTCGTACTTTTATCTTCTGAACTTTCACTACTTGTCTGTATCATCAAACAATTGACTATAATTTGTTTCAAGTTCTTTTCTTTCAGGTCTCGCGGATGTGTTGCAATATGCTCTCTCGCAATACTGCACAGACCTTTGCACCCATTGGAAGATTTAGGAACTTTATAAATGAGATTTTTAAATATAGCATTTTTGGGCAATAAATCAAATAATTTATCCCAATAATTTATACTTGTTTACTTATTTGTACTTTGTGTTGATTTAAAAACAAATTTATAATTTTGAGTAGCAGGCTTTATTGTCTGATAGTCTGCCAAAACATGGCATCGTCATTTTATTCCATAATTGTCAAACTTCAATTGAGATTTCTTTAATAATATCATTTGACTAGGAATATTACCCAATTCTAAAAGGAAATGATATCTTCCTTGTATCAGCTTTGTCTTACATTATTTTAAAAAATCCATCAGTGGCTTCTCAATCAAATTTTCATATATACGATTTCTTGGCTTTGAAATATTGGAAGAGAGATCAATTAAATTATTAATATACAGTTTATATTTAAATATATACAATTTATAATAGTTAAACAATGACTTTAACTATTTTTTCAAACTTTTGACAATACTTTAAAATTGATTTGCGCAGATGGTTTTTTGCGTTTATATTATTTATTTTTATGCTTTTGTGAGTTTTTGCTCCTTTTTGCAAAACTAAATACGACGAATTTTGTATGTCCTATCGTGGACCTCTTCTTTGGTTTTACCTAATTTTGACTTTTCAATCAAACTAAACTACTCCTCATTCAAAACCAAAACTAAAGAAATTATCTTTTCAATTGAACACATCTTTATCTATTTTTGACTTTTTATCAATTTATTGCTGATATATTATACTTTATTGTATTATGTTTTACTATTTACGAATATTTCCATGAGTTCTTTGCAAACTTATGTATTTAATGGCTTTTATTTTATTACTTTTTATTACTGTGTTTAGTTAAACTTCATATTATCTTTGTTATTTTACGAATTTTTTATAACTTCACTATAATATTACGTATTTATATTATATTATACTCGATACTAAAATGCATTGTAAAGGGCTTCATGATAAGATCCTCATGATCTTCTAGAAGTCCTGCCACTAAATTTGTAATATGTTAAAATTTGTATTATTAAAAAAATTATTTGGCAAAAAAAAAAAAAAAAAAAAAAAAAAAAAAAGTTTTTAGTAATTACTTGACCAATAGTTATAGGGCCGTCACTTGACAAATTCACAACACTAGTATATGCTTGATGTATTATTTAAATGTTTTAAACTTAGATTAGATCATGGTTCTCCCTTGATTAAAAAAAGAAGACAAGAATATTTAGAAATGATGACTGAAAAATTAATTATTAAAATTTACCACTCATAGTATCTACCATAAACAGTGTTCAAAGTGATTCTGTTAAAAAAACATTCAAATGTTAATTATAAGATTCACCTTTCATATCTATATTAGTATTCAAAAAGTTATAAAACAGCTTTTACAAGGATTTTTGGGAATCTTATAAATTGCCAGATTGCTCTAAAATAAAATTACTTAATTGAAAATATATGTATCCATAGGGTTTATATATATTATTTATAGCTATATATATAGCTCTATAAATTTATCTAAAACATCATTTTAATTTTTTAAAATATAAACTTTTAGCTAATATTTGGAAACATTTTTCAATATCAAAATATATAATGAAATAGACTAATTTTATTTGATAAACATTATAGATTATGCCCTTATCGCACTTTGTAACTGTTAAAGAAATTTCTTCATGAGATACTATTAACATTATTTAGAATGTTTCAAAAATTTGGTCTTTGTCGTTATTTATGTCCACAACTTATTTCAAACTAATGTTTTGTTATTTTAAACGTGTTAAAAAACTTTGAGCAACATGTCCAATCACTAACAACCCCCGGCCCTCACTTGTGTCAAAAACGTTGATCTTGAAAAATAAATGTTAACTATTTAAGCTAACTCAAAAGCTAATGTATATTAACAAGGAAAAATATTTACACCCTCTGAAAACTGTTAGTTATACTTCATTTTCTCAATGTAAGTTCAATTTTACGTGATTGTAAGGACTTTTTTAACTTTCATAACTGAACTTCCGTATTACTTTATGTAAGTGACAATGACTTGACCATACAAATAGTGAACCAAAACCAACTGCAGAAAATGAGGACGTTCTTCGCAAAGTTTGTGAGATTGAGTATTAAAATTCGTTGAGAAATCGAAATAACACCGATATGTTCAAGTCTGAAACTTTTTACCAGCTTTTTTGACTTTAATAATAATTTTATTTGCAATAGTTCTTAATCTGTGCAAAATTCGTTTGTGCTGATTGTTTTTATGGTTTAACATTGGCACATGTTGTCTTTTAGTTCTGCTGTTTACACTAAAAATACGCACATGAGACCCTGTTGGATGATGGGCACTTTTCACTATGTTATTTCCTCGCAAAGTATTGATGCCAGCACGTTTAACAGCAGCTACTGCACCGTCTACAATTAAAAACTTATAAAAAATAAACATTTACGATTACATCAAGGAAAAAAAACTTACGAAATTTATAATTAAAAATCTAACCTCTACATTTATATAATGCCGCTCTTAAACAGATGTCATGCTTATCGATTCCATTATCTTCATTCCAACCAATTGGATTAATTTGAATGTACCGAGCAGTTATTGGTGGATTCAAATGATTTCGACGTTCAGTGTGGCGATCACTATTACCATCCAATGGATTCTAAAAAACGTTAAACCATATTAATAATCATTCAAAAAAAAAATTATAATTACCATAGTAAAAATACCACCCCAGTTCCAATCCTAGTCTAATTAATTTCTTTGTTTTTTGCCTCAACATCGTCTTAACATCTCACGTCTTGCCATTTTTATCATAGCAAAAAGTTAAATAGTAGGAAGAAAAAAACAACCATAAAACTTAAGTAGAAAACCGATAGTCAATATAGACCATAATGTTTATAGCAAACTTCAAAATAGGAAAAAAGTTAAAATAAAAAATTCAGTATCCAATCAACATCATAAAATGAAAATTTATAAAAATATAAAAAATTAGAAATGCTTGCAATTCTAAACTTGTATTTTTTGCAAGTTTTTATTTTTGTGTTTTTCTTTAATAATATGGCTGAATAATTGATAAATAGAATAAAACTCAAATTTCATAAAAACTTTCTTTTTATGAACTTTGAAATTTTTTAATCAAAGAATTGAAAATAGATCATACTATTGAAAATAAATAAAACTATTGAAAAAAGATCAAACTATATTAAAATAAATTAAATGAAGAACTTTTTTTTAATACACTTAACAACATTGTTTCTCTTTCAAACATTACATATATATATATGTGTAATCGAATTCTTATGAGATAATTAACATAAAAAATATAAAGTATTATTGTCTTAAATTGTAAAAATAACAAATAATAAATGATCACTACAACATATTCACTAATTCAATAGATATTACTTATAGAAATTGTATTTAACCGATATCACTAATTCATTAGATAGCACTTATAGAAATTGTATTTAACAAAGAATTAGCTTGACCCCATAAAGATTTTAGAAAAAGTAATAGTGATAGTAAAAATCAAAAAATAGTGTGACAGTATTTCAAGCACAAAAAATAAGGTGTTTCTAACTTAGTTGCGTGTGGAAAATGAATTAAAGCAGCTAGTGGCAGCAAGAGTGGGCTTCATAAACATTTGCAAAGTGTTGACCAAATAAATATATTTAAAAGAGGAGCTAATGAAGGTAGAGCTGCAGTATTGAAACGATTTAGACCTCTTTCACAGATTCAACATCAATTATGTATAGCATTCAACTAGCCATACTTAAAGCTTTTTATTGAAACAAAAACTCAATAACAAACATGAACGATATTTATTCTGTTTCTGATGAGAAAACTGAATCCGATATAGAAATGTTACAATTACACTGGAATTTATTATTTGATAGAAAAAATCAGAAAAGTTGTTAAAACATTTAAATTGCCTCCCACTAAAAATGATTTCATTTTTTACATAAAAATATCAACTGATTTTATATGGTTTTAACTAACTTTGAATGATTTTTCCCTTAAAACAATGTAGAATTCATTGATGGAAGTGTAAGCAGGATAATTGGAACTTACATTAGTTTGATATACAACATTTTTTGTTAAGGATTGGTTTATAAAATTCTAATAACAATGTAGAATTCATTGATAGAAGTGTAAGCAGGATTATTGGAAATTACATTAGCTGGGTATACAATATTTTTTGTTAAGCACTTATTTGATGAAATTCTAATTAAGGCAGTTGCAGCACCACAGCAAAAAAAAACAAAAATTATAGTTAGAAGGAAGATTGATAATAAAAATAATAAAGTAGTAGAAGTTATAAGAAACTATCTGATAAATTTATAATAAAATAATAACTTGAAAATGAGAAAAAAATATTTTTTTATATGTAAGTATTCAAGCAGGTTGTAGATGATTATCTTATTTTATTAAACCTGGCACTGGACTAGTTTTATCAAACCTGGCACCTTCTATGATTGAATCTGCTTTACTTCACTTAAAGTATTTTATTGACATTGTTAGTAAAGTTATTATGAAAACCATATAAAAATATAAAAATATCGAAAAACTTACATTTTTATAATACTCCCAACTTATTGCATCATCGCTAAACCTTAAATTAAAGCTTTTCACCCAATTTTCTAATAAATGACTTCCTTGTGTAACTACTCCATCCACTGTCATTTGCTTACCGAGATCAAACTGCAAATACTGGTTTTTATCTCCTAATAAGGCATACTTATGTTCAGCACACCATCCACCTGTAAAGAAATACCTGTAGATTGTTGTAATAAAACTTGAAACAATTTTATTAAAACTAATTGTTAAAATTTAATATCTCTTTTTTAAATAACAGTATTTTTACAATATGATATTTAATTACCACCATTTACTACATTGTTAAGCCGAGCATTTTGAGGTGCATATTCTCGTTTCACATACTCATCTTCAGTATCATGAGAATAAACAGAAGAAGCATTGTATTGACTATCGCTTAGCTTTATTTCTTCCAGTCCTTCGAAGCAACCTTAAAAATAAAACCCTTTTTTCAATCAATAAAGTTACAAATCTTTAAAAAAACAAAAACAGTCTTAATAAACTTTTTTTTAAAAAGACTTGAACCTCCAATAAAATGTGAAGCTTCTTTGGTAGCTACAAAAACAAAAACACATAACATTAACACGCATATTAACAATAAAAACACCACAAGATTATATTAAGAATTTTATTAAATTAATTGTGTTAAAAATATTAAAAACAAATATGAAACGTTACGTTGTGTATTATTTGATATCAAATTCAATATTTTTGAAGAATTATTTGATTTTGTTGGAAGACTTAATGATTTGGTTGGAAAATCTGAAAAAACATTAAGGAATGTATTAAATTTGTAACGACGTCTATAATTTGCGTTAAAAATTTTTTTGAAACATTGAAAATATTTTGTACTTACCGAAAACTGAATTTTCATGAAAATTCAAAGTTCGATTGATTCCTTCAGATGGTCCATTAGTAAAGACTTCTCCATTAGTTAATCTTAGTAAAGGTGATTGAGCTTGAGTTTCATTTTGTAAAGAGTTGTTTAAATTAGTTCCTGTATCTGATAAGATGCGACCATCATTTGACTTTTGTAATACAGTTTGTGATGCATTTTCTAACTTTTTGTTTAATGTAATTTCTGGAATTTTTTTTGACATACTCTCAAGTATATTTTCTGATGTATTTTCTGGTTTATATAGCTTTTCCGTAACTGAAATTTTGACAAGTTAATGAGTAAATATTTTTGACATAAAAATTATATTATATATATATATATATATATATATATATATATATATATATATATATATATATATATATATATATATATATCTAAAACTATGTATTTATGTATGTATGTACTATGTATGTACAATGTATGTACTACAGTCGATGTTTGTACTAGCCCCCAGCAGCAGGCTATTTCAGTATGACATCTGAGTGCTCATCTAAACTAGCAATTTATGTTATATATATTTAAATTTCATTAAAATAAACAACATTATTAATAGTACTTAAAGTTTCATGCCATAAATGGCAATCATCAGCTATTAAATGCATAAAAATTCCGGTTAGAATAAACCGTTTAAAAACAAACTCTTTTACAAATGAATTTAAAAATATGGCAGAATGACTGATGTAATAAAGGATGTAACAATTTAGTCTCCAGTATCAAAAGAGGACAGTAGAAAATTGTTGGAATGTCAACACGTAAAAAATGTAAAAAATGTATAATTAGTTCACATAACCACAAGATTTTACACAGTGATACAAATTTGAATGCAAGAACTTGCAACTGCATTACAAAGACCGCTTGCCGATTGAACAACCAATGTTTATTAAGTAATATTGTTTATCAAGCTGTGATTGATAAAAATCCTAATTCTGAAGAAAAAGTAAAAGTATATTTTGGCATCAGCGAGACACCATTCAAACTTTCAGCGAGACACCATTCAAACTTAGATACGCAAATCATTTAAAATCTTTTAATGCCGTGAAATACAAAAATGACACTGAGTTTTCTAAGGAGATTTGGAAAAAAACATAAAACACAATAAAGTGGAAAATTATAAAACACTGTAAACCTATTAAAACAACATACAAAATTTGTAACCTCTGCCTTCAAGAGAAAATTATAATTTTATATAACAAAGAAAAAAATCTGCTTAATAAAAAAGACAAAATATTAACTAAGTGATATTATTAAAATAATATCATTCCAACAAATTTCTAGTGTTCTCTTTTGATATTGGAGACTAAATATTTTCATCTTTAATTTATTCCGAAGTCATCCTAGTGTAATTTCTATTTCATTTGGAAAAGAATTTGTTTTTAAACGTTTTTTTCTAACAGGTTTTTTTATGTATTTAATAGCTGATGATTGCCGTGTATGGCACGAAACTTAAAGTACTATTAATAATGTTGTTTTTCATTTAAACAAAATTTAATTATTTATTGCTCTATTATTAAAGTATTAAGCACTGTTATACGTTCAAGAGTTTTTATATTATTTTAATATGATATAATACATAAAAAACCAATCAATATATATGTATATGTATATATATATATATATATATATATATATATATATATATATATATATATATATATGTATATATATGTATATATATGTATATATATGTATATATATGTATATATATGTATATATATGTATATATATGTATATATATGTATATATATGTATATATATATATATATATATATATGTATACATATATATACATATATATATGTATATATATATATATATATATATATGTATATATATGTATATATGTTTATATGTATATATATATGTATATATGTATATATGTATATATATATATATATATATATATATGTATATACATATATATGTATATATATGCATATATGTATATATATATGCATATATATACATAATGTATATATATAAATATATATATATATATATATAAATATATATATATATATGTATATATATACATATATGTATATATATATATATATATATACATATATATATACATATATATAGAAACAATCAACACTTCCGGTCATTCACATACTGGTGAATATCTTACACAATTAGCAAGAGAAGCAATAAATTTTGTAAGACGTAATTTTGGATGCACAGTAAAAAACTTTGTGAATGACAATCCAGCTAATATGAAATCAATGAGACAAGTATTGTCATCTGAAAGAGATATCATAATTTATGGGTGTGCTGCTCATATGCTGAATCTTTTAGCAAATGATCTTAACATTGAAAATATGAGCAAGCATGTTACACAAATAATAAAATGTATAAGAAATAATCATCAAGCTGGAGCAATTTATAAATTAAGAGGAGGAACACTTCCTACTGAAACTCGCTGGAATTCTGTATGTGATTCACTTGAAAAATATGTCAACAACTGGAGCATTATTTTCACTTTGTTTGAAAAAAATAAAGACCTGGATTCCATGATTGGTAAAAAAAGTAAGTGATATACAGATAAAGCAAAACACAGATTTATTGATAATATTTATTGAAAATATTGAAACCAATTGCAATAGCTCTAGATAAGTTGCAAAGAGATCAAACAAAAATAAGTGACACTTGAAATTTTTAAAGATTTGATGAACAGTTTATTATTTTTATCAAAAAAAAAAAAAAAATTAAATCTAGATACCTTCAGACTGTCAGTGATGCTCATTTCCTGGCAAACACACTAGATCCTAGATATTTTGGATCTAATCTTTCTGAAAATGAAAATGAAACTGGCATGAATTTCGCAGATAAAGAGTTCAAGAATTTGTTACCAATATTATTCAAATTAAAAGCCAAACCTATTATAACATAATGGATGATGAAGGTTTATTAAATGCACCAGCTTCTAGTGCTGGAATCGAAAGAGTTTTTTCAACTTTTGGTCTTGTTCATTCTAAGTTAAGAAACCAATTGGGGGTACAAAAAGCTGCAAAGCTTGTATTTATATGTTGAACATTAAACAATGATATATTGAATAATTTTGATGAAATATAACGATAATATTGATAAAGAATAGTTTACTCAAATAAAATATGTTATGCTTTTTTTAATTTAAAAGGATAACTAATACCGCATTTTTTAGTAAAAACCTTATTTAAACCAAAAAACCCATGGTTTTTTTAATTTTTTTCAAAAAACCCTATGGTTTTTGGTTTTTTTTTAAAAAAAAAACGGTTTTTTTTGCAACCCTGTGTATATATATATATATATATATATATATATATATATATATATATATATATATATATATTTATATTTATATACAGTTAACTCTCAATATCTCAAAGACTAAGAGAATTCGCAAAAAAGTTTGAGATATCAAGATATCAAGAAAGAGGTTGAAAATAAGTAAAATCGCCCAACTTTCATTATAATACAAGTTATTTTTCTGACAAAAATCATTCATCAAATCAACAACAAAAACTGCCACTTTTGGAAAAAATCTGCTATCTGATATTGCTTTAAATAATCCATCTTTTCCATCTTAATTAAATCCTCAAGTTATTTTGAGCGCTATATATATTTTTTAAATGTTGACATCTTCAATAGATTTTATTTGTATAAATATTTTAGTTAAAACTTCTTTTTATGGTTTAATATTTATTTGTTAAAAATATATATTTTTTTACAATATTTTGATAGAATATTGATACTCTCATTATCAAGTATATTAAAAAATTTACGAAATATCTTTGTAAGAGCTTACGAAAATTACGAAATATCTTTGTAAGAGCTTACGAAAATTACGAAATATCTTTGTAAGAGCTTACCAAAATTACGAAATATCTTTGTAAGAGTTTAGAGTTTTTTTAAGAGTTAAGAGTTAAGAGTTAAGAGTTTTTTTAAGAGAGTTTTTTGTGACATAAGAATTTGAACATAGGCTTGCAAAATGACATCATCACATAATCGCCATCATCCCGATTAAGACCATTGTCGCGAAAGGTACTTTCGTTGTGTTGTTTTTCCAACGCTTCCCTAACTTTCTTATTAAAACTATTTGTTTCTACTTTTAAGGTATTGCCACTATTCCAGTGGATATTTTCTTTAGCAAATTTTGTGAAAATCCAGCTGAAACTAAACATTCCAAAATTTGCAATGGAAATTTCCACTGGAATGGTCAAAAATTCAGTTTCACCATTCCAGTGGAAATTTCCACTGGAATGGTGAAAATTTAGCTGTAGCTGAACATACCAAAATTTGCAAAGGAAATTTCCACTGGAATGGTTGCAATACCTTAAAAATAGAAATGTTAATACGAAAGAAAAAATAGAAACGTTAATAGGAAAGTTAGGGAAGCGGTGGAAATACAACACAACAAAGGTACATTTTGCAACAATGGTCTTAATCGGGATGATGGCGATTATGTGACATCGTCATTTTGGAAACCTATGTTCAATTTCTTACACCACAAAAAACTCTCTTAAAAAAACTCTTAATAAGAAGCTCTTACAAAGAACATTGTTTTGTAAATTTAAATGGTTTTCTAATACAGCAGTTTTATTTTTTTATAATGATTTTAAATATACTTGATAGCGAAAGTATCAATATTCCCTCAAAATATTGTAAAAATAAATATATTCTTAACAAATAGATATTAAACCATAAAAAGAAGTTTTATTTAAAATATATATATATATATATATATATATATATATATATATATATATATATATATATATATATATATATGTATGTATGTATGCATGTATGTATGTATGTATGTATGTATGTATGTATGTATGTATGTATGTATGTATGTATGTATGTATGTATGTATGTATGTATGTATGTATGTATGTATGTATGTATGTATGTATGTATGTATGTATGTATATATATACATATACACGTAAGTATATATATATATGAATAAAGAAAATATCTTCATATTATCATGTATAATGTTTAATTAAAAGAGTGCTCAATAGATAAACTAGAGCTTTATAGTATTTATGTTACTGTAACTCGCAATACCAGGAATTAGCTAAATGCTAATGTTTATAATATAATATAATATAAATTAATATAACTCTCAGTTTCATGTGTTACCACAGTCTTATATTTAGTGGATGTTACAGTTTTTATTTATATTTTAGATCATCATGGAACTGAAAAATGTGTGCGTGTATCAGCACTCGGAATTAGGGTCGGCATACAGCAATGCCAACCTAACTGCGGACCTACTACTACTAATTTAGAAGTGTTTTAGGTTGCCGATTTTTTGCCTACCTCTATCTAAAGTTGGCCAAATTTTGTCGACCTCATTTTTCCTAATTCTGAGGGCTGATATATAATAATAATTAAATATAATAATTAAAGTATATTTAAATATTAAAATTATTAACATAAAAACATTAACAAATATTAACAACTTGTTAACTTACATGAACAAGGACCTAAAAAACATTCTTCAGTCTCTACTCTTCTTCCAGTACAGTCAGCACCATTATTCTCTGGTTTAGGAGAAGTGCAAGAACGCATGCGAACTTTGGTACCTTCACCACATGAAACACTGCAAGGAGAATAATCTGACCATCGACTCCATGCACCATTTACTGAAAGAATTAAAAATTAAAAAAACAAATTAAAAGCAAAAATTATTTATATATTACATATAATTGATACTGAAATAATATTAAACTTAATTTTAAATTATTAAACAATCATTTAAATTTATTCATAGTATTTATATTTTACTTATTTACATTTATATTGATGATGATGATGATGATGATGATGATGATCATCATCATCATCATCATCATCATTTTCATGTATTTTTTATGTGAATTTATGGAAATCTAATATATATTAATAGCCTATAAAATTACTTAAAATTAATTGATGTCAAGACTGATAACATTTTTAAAGTTACAAAATTGTTCTACTAAATTTGTATTTACACATTTAATACAAGAAAAAGCAGCTAATTTAAAAGTGCTACTTTTGTGTTAAAATTAGATAATTTTTTTTAGGTATCAATTTTAAAGTTATCTATTTTGTGAAATTATCTAATTTCACAAACCAATAAATAAAATAAATTTTTTTTTTTATCTATCTCAAAGATATGAGCTGGCTGCAATCAGAGTCAAGTTCTACTCAGTAATTGAGTTAAAGTTGAATTGAATCACTTCAATGCTAACCAGCTCTAGCTGGCTAGAACCAGTCTAAGTCAACTTCTACTCAATAATCAAGTAAAATTTGGCTTGAATCACTCTCATTCTAACCAGTTTATAATATAAGCTGGTTAGAATGAGAGTGGTTCAAGTCAACTTTTAAGTCGACATAAGAGATATCTCTCAAGTCAACTTTTAAGTCGACATATATATATAATAACATAAGTTGACATATATATATATATATATATATATATATATATATATATATATATATATATATATATATATATATATATATATATATATATATATATTTAAAAAGTTTTTATATTATGTAATATTTACTTTGTACATAGATCATCCTAGTCATATTTTAAAAATCCGGAAAATTGTTTGAATAAAATATCCGGAAAATTCCAGAAAAAATCTGAAATTTGTTTTCCCTTATTTTCTTTTTAATTTTGCTTTAAGCTAAGTTGTTTTTAATTTTTATTTGACACTATTCATAATTTTTCTATGAGTGGTAAGTGAAAAAGCTTAAAAAACAAATGTATCACAAAAATATATACCTCAACTTGCATGTATTGAAAATGTTTTGAATATTCGGAAAAAGTAATACTTGAAAAAAATATCCGGAATTCCAGAAATATCCGTAAATAATTCCTGGGTATATGATGTTGATATGATGGTTTATGCTTTTTATTTTACAATAAAAAATTTTCACTTCTAAGATTTTATCCACTCTAAAAATTGCTTGCTTTGATTAGGACACAAGCTATTATAAAGGTAGTTGACTTAACTCTATTAAGAAAGCTTAGTTGTGAGAATTATTATTTCCCAGTAGTGTTTAACTATGAACTTGTTTCTTTACTTTTTTTATTTGCAAATATAATTTTAAAGTATAGATTGTAAAATCTTTAAGTTTGAGTAGGATTTACAACAGCATCAGGTTCATTTCTAAGCTTCATAAATGTTAAGATTTAATAAAATAATTTAATTTTTTTTTCTTGTTTTATTTTTGTTTTTAGTTTGTGATCAAAATTATTATTCATATTTAACTTTTGTTTCTACAAAAATTAATGTTTAAAGCAAAACTAAAAGATATAAAACAATTATACCATGTTTATAATAGTTAATTCTAAATGTTGCTCAAGTCAATTTATTTGGCATATTTAATTAAAATTATTTAATAGGATTCATTAAAAATTATTAAGGTTGGTTAAATATATTCCAGAACTGAGTTGACTGTAAGCATGTGCAGGATCTACGGGCTAAATAAAGTTTCATGTTTATGTTAAATATTAAATTTTATTAAATTTTTTTTTTTTCTTCCCTCTTCCTGGTGAAAATAAAAAACTAATTTGTGCCATTTTTAAATATTATAAGATTGTTATAAAGTTCAAATTTTTATAAATTTAAAAAATTATGATCTTTCCTGTAACTATATTTCTTATTTGTTTTTACAGATAAATATGGATGTTTTTAAATTACTGAATCATATTTTTGAAATATCTGGCTCTTTTGATGTCAGCATCTGAAGCTTTGCAAACTTTTTAATACTATCTGATTCAATATCAGGCCATGTACAAGAATGAGCATTTGAATACAATTTGAAAACATGTCATTTCTCAGAAACATTTAAAAGCACTTCTTTAAACTTTTTCTAAAAAAGGTATGCATTTTTTTTTAAATGCTTTAAATGAAGTCATACATTAAAGATTTATCATCATAATAACATTTTAAAATTCCAAGATCAATTTTTTTTAACAATCACAACACATACTACAGTACATGATTAAATTATTTTTATTTTCATTAAAATATTAAATTGAAATGTCTCAAGAATTTACAATTGTAAGATTGTCAGGTATATGCCGAATATAGGTTGCGAAAAGCAATTATTTCATTTGAGGAAAAGCTTTAAATTTAATAACTTAGTAGTTGACTTTAAAATTTTGTGATAAAAAAATGAAGTGGAGTTTGTTGTAAAATTAAGCATTTTTTTAATTTTCTGTATTATTTGCCAACAATATAAATTTATAATATATATATATATATATATATATATATATATATATATATATATATATATTTGGTTTTTTGATACTATATATTTAACTTACGTTACATCTCCGAGCAATTAGTATTGTGGATTTTTTATATCTATTTTTTAGAGTTATATAACAAAAGAGTTGCAAAAGTATTGAGCTCATTCATTAAAAATAATTAACAAGGAAAATTTAAAATGCTGGTGGCAATCTTCCTGAGTGATTTTTCATAACATTTATGAAAGTTATTAAATTGAAAACAGTTTTTTTACAAGACCTAGAGAAACCTTAAAAAATTAATTAGTTTTACAACTTAATACTTATTTGAGTCATTTAATTTTAAGAAAATCTTCGGTTTGTTGAAGTTTTTATTTGCAATACTTATGTTTAAGTGTATTCCCTTATTTTCATTAGGTTGAATTTTTAAGATGCTGCAAAGTATTTACATTTAAATTTTTTAAAATATTTTAGACGTAAAAACTGATATCACAGTTTAGAAGGGAGAGGGGTTCAGGTATACGCGATTGTTTGTGACAGGAGGGAAGGGATTAAACTGCCATACATCTGGAATAGTGGAACATACACGAAATTGTAATGGTGAATAAACTGGGAGAATCCTAAAACACTTTCTGTTATTTCAAACAACTACACAAGTAAAATTTGCGGAGCCATTAAAATACAACGTGTGCAACATAAGGCCATTAAAATACTTGTGCTATGTAAAATCTAAAGAAAATGTCTTAAATTGTAGCTATTCTAATTTGGTGATGACTCACCATTGAAAACCATTAAAAAAATTAAAAAATGTTGAATACCTGACATAGCAAGACATCATTTTATTACGTTCATAATCAATTTTCAAAAGATTTTTTTTAACAGTTTTATTAGTTTGATAATGGTTTTTGCTATTTAAGCCAAAATACCATGTAAAAAAATAATTAAATAGTATGGTACCGTTATGTTTTAATGCTTATATTTACCATTTTTATATTTGAATACTTATATTTTTATTATACATACTATGATCATGATGATAAAGATAATGATCATGATGATCATTATCTTTATCATCATGATCATCATTACCACCACCATTATTGTGATTATCATCATCTTCATCATTATCATTATCATCATCATCATTATTTTTAAATAAAAATTGACAAATGCTTTCCAAACATTTATACCAACACATGCAGCTTCACTAATAGCATGAACTTTTCTTTGAAGCTCATGGTAACCATCAGACATAAAAAGATGTAGTTTGGTAGGTTCTGATGCAATAACTCTCATTTCTTCTTTCATTGTTTCAATTTCATCAGGTGTCTCACTATCAGGTACAATGCCAATGCAAAATATTGCTACACCAGCATCTTTTAATCGGTCAACAGGGCCAGCAACAAGATCTTTACCTAAAATTTAGTAAAATAGAAATTAGAAAAAAACCTATAAAAAACCTCATTAAGAGTCTTAGCAAGTTAGTACTTAGTACTTTTAAATCTGACCTTGTTTTAGTTAGCTTGGTTAATTTGATGTATTAATTTATGCATTAAAAGAATAACAAAATGGCAATGTATTAATGTAACTAAATTATATCTAAAAAAAATGTAATACTAATTTCAAATACTATTATTATTCTATTATTTATTAAAAAAAAGCAAATTTTTTTTATAGGATAATAAAACAATGAAGAATAAGCAAGAGATATTTAGAACAAAATAAAAGCATTTTACATACTAGATGTAAATATAATAATAATAATAATAATAATAATAATAATAATAATAATAATAATAATAATAATAAATTAACAAAATAATAATTGCATTCCTATTAGAAATATTATTAATAATAAAAATAATAATAATAATAAAATAGTAATATACTAATTACTGTGTTCAAAATAAAATAGTAATAATAATAGCGATAATAAAAATGATATAAACAATAATAATATACAATACTGTTGAGATATGAACACAATGTTAATTCTTTTACAGACTAAACAAGAAAGTTTAATTTAGCTTTAAGTTAAGATTTTTAACTTCCACTGTTTCAATTGGTAATTTGTTCCAGAATTTAACTGTTCGATTTGTAACACTGCTTACTTTGTTCACCCATGATGATACACTTTCTCCAAGTACAACTCTGCTACCTATCAGTTAAAAAATAATTTATCCACTTCAATGACATAGATGTAATGCCATATGCTTCAATTTTTAGTGCTCATCTCTTATACGAAACTTTGTCAAAAACTTTTTTGAAATTAGTATAAAGTATCAAATGATTTACCCTTTGCAACACCTGTCGTTACTGTATCCATGTACTCTAGGAGGTTAGTTGTGCAACTTTTACCTTTTGTAAAACCATGCTGATTAAAAAATAATAAATTGTTAGCCTTTAAATAATGTAAGAGTTGGTACTACTGCAATTTTTAAACAACAGTGCTATGTTTGCTGTCTTCCATGAAGTAGGTACTACACCTTTGTAAATTGATTTGTTAAATAACAAAGTTAATGGATTAGAAAAAGCATTTACATATTCTTTCTATATGAAAGGATGAATTCTGTTTGGTCCAACAGATTTTCTTGGGTTTAAAGCATTTATCATATTAATAACTTCAGTTGAGGTAATACTAATAAACTGTAGTGAATTTAAACACTTTTTTTCGTAAAAATTTAGTAAAATATCGTTGTTAGCTTCTATAAATACTGATTGAAAATATTCATTCAAAATAAAAGCAATCTGATTTTGGTAATATTACACACATTAGAATTTTCAATTGATATTATATATATATATATATATATATATATATATATATATATATATATATATATATATATATATATATATATATATATATATATATATATATATATATATATATATATACTTTGATATAATTATACAGCAGTTTTGGGTCTTATTTTGCTTTTTTAGCTTTGTACTTTTTGTACTCTATTGCAGCATTTTAACCTTTTTTATATACTTGCTTTTTTGCCTTATTATATTGGGATTTTTTTAAACTACTCGTCCATAAAAAGAATTTATTGATAGACCAGAGTTTATTTTTCATTTTGATATCATTTATTATCTCTTTGTTAAGAAATTTTTTTCTGTTATTACGATTAATTTTTACTAAAGGAATAAATTTTTTACAAGCTGTTTGGTAATGATAATTGAAAAGCTCACAACAATCATTGATAATTTTGTTTAAGAAAAGAATATCATTCCAAAATTTAGACCAAAACTTGTTCTGTGTCTATACAGTTTATAGTTAGCAGTGTGACCTCATATGAGTTTATTTGATTTTTGTGTAAATTTCCTCCTCAAATTTTTCCATTTGTTCAATTGAAACGATATATTATATAATATTATATATTAGATATATTATATTATAATTAGATATATTAGATATATATTATATAATATTATATATTAGATATATAACGATATATTAGAAAATTCAATAAACCAAGTTTCAGCAATGCAGATTAAACCTGGAATGATGGTGTAACACAACTCATCTATTTTATTATTTAAGGAAGTAGCATTAGTATAAAAACAATTTAAGTCAGATTTTGAGTTTGTTTTAAATTTTTTTTTTGGTTTATGTGGCACTTTGTTTTTAATTAAGGGATATTTATTTCAAAACTTTTAACAGACTCATGTAACAGATATTCCTAAATAAATTTAATAGCTGCCAAATTCAAAATTTTATATTGTTTGAGACGGGAAAATCATAATTTTTTGCTTGTTGGAATATTGATGATGTTGTTATTGCGGATACCATATCTATAATCATTTATATTTTTATTAAGTCATTATTAAATTGATTACATTCATCTAGTAATTGTTTCAAAAAAATATAGTTGAGTTGGCGTTATATCATAGTTTATATAAACATTTTTGAATTAATTACTTTGCTGTTTTAATTGCCTTAATTGCCTTGCTGTTTTAATTACCGAAATGCAATCATCTTCGCTTTGAAGAAATAGTAATAGTAATACTAACAATAATAACAGTAAAAAAAAAGAGGATCAAAATTATATACAAATAATAATAATCATTAAAATAATAACATTGGTAATAATAGCAAGAAAATAAATAAAATTAAAATAAAACAATACTAACATTCTAATACCAACAATAATAGTACTAATATAAGAAAATGTGAGAAAAAATAAACTTTTACAGGAACAAACACAGGATGGAATCAAGATGTCATTAAATAGATAAAAATAAAAAGATTGATAAAATAAACTTTATTTATTGCTTTAATCTTGGATAAATTCCGTAATCTTGTTAATAAAAAAAGTTTCATTTCCTGTTTCAGATTCTTGATCTTGAGCGCAGATAATTCCACGAGTTTATAACTTTTTATAAAATAAATGCCATACTTAGACATTCCCTTCAAATATTTCACAATGTTGCTATATGATACTGATTTTAAGTTCATATAATATAAATCAAAAAAAAGAATGCTTAAAACAAGAAAAAAAACTTGAATTTAATTTTATAAAAGTTATTTTTACCATTTTATTATTTAAATGTGATTGAAATAAATTTATGGTGTTTTAATAAATTTACAAATGGTGTTTTGATAAATAATTGAAATACTTTATTTGTTTAAAGCACTGCAATATTTTTTATAATTTTTAGCTCTCTCTTATACTTTCAGGTGCAATTTTTGAAAGTTGTCAATTAGTAAAGTTATTTACTATTTCTCTATTTAATCACAACTCATACAGAAAAAAAAACCTTGAATGGTTTTTGATTACAAAACAATTTATAAATATATTTATTTTTTAATTACCTTCAACAAAATGATCTTTATTTATTTCTAAGCTATTTGTTGGACCATCAGTAACTAAAATTAAAACTTGGTTTTTTTGCTCACTGAATTGGAACACATCTGCTGCTTTTTTCAAAGCTATATCTGTTCGAGTACCTCCAGTTTTATAAAATATATTGTCTATTGCTGTATCTCTAGATGTAGTGTCATTGAAACGAGTAAGATGTAAAGCTATCTCTGCATCTGATGCATACCTAATGATACCAACGCGAGTCGTACTTAGCTTAAATCGATTGCACAAAGATTTTACAAATTGAATAACAATTTTCCAATTAGAATATTTAACACTTTCTGAACTGTCCAATAGAAACAGTAAATCAACAGTTTTACTACATTTATCACGCTCCTCTAAAAAAAACAAAAAACAAAATATATTAATACTTAAATTAAAACATGTCTCAGAGATTTTTTTGAAGTAAAATTAATTATTATAAACACGTTACAAATAAAAATACTTATAATATAAATATAATTATTATTATATTTACACTTATAATATAATTCTAATAAATATATTATTTATTATTAAATCAGAGGTTAAATAACACATGAATCCTGAATAAAAAATCATAGCAGGCCCAGCACTAAACATTTCGAAGGTGAGTGAAAAAAGTATTTTGGCGCTTTAGTAAAATAAATTTTAAATTTTGTAATGTATTTTAATTAAATTTTATGAAAGAAGGTTAGAAATAATTTATCTTGAAAATAGTACTTTTCAAAAACAATACTTCTAAACAATGTTTACAAATGATTGGTTAGCATAAAAATGTGCATGATCAGGGCTGCCGAGAGCTTCATGACACTCAGAGCATATTAGCAATTATATATAATAAATATAAAATAAACAATACAAAACTATAAAGTTAATGACTGTTTATATTTCAAATACTGTTAACTTACATCCATATTAGGAAAATCTGGATCTAATCTGGATTAAATAACACAAATTCTTTGAAATTAATATTAAATTTTTTTTTTTTCTTTTTTACTAGCAAAAATTGTTGTCATTATTATGTAATCTTACAACAGAGTTGCATCCAATTTGTTTTCAACATGTATGTTTGATAGAGGTTCTTAAATCTTTTGTTTTATAGTGGCCCTATAATTATTTTTTAAAATCAATTTTGGTTTACTTAAAAGCTGTTGCGCTAATTAAATTCAAATTAGAATTTAATTAGAATGCATATAGATTGGAAAAAAGGCTTTAGACCTTTTGAGGCTGAGAAAGCCTAAAGTGTTTGTAGAAGTAAAAAATGAAGACTACTTTTTCAAGCTTTAATTTTTACCGGTTCTTGATCTTTTAACCAGATCAATAAGAATCTTAACGAAACAGTTTTTACAATTTTTAGTTGAATTTGTTAAATGAAATGATGAAGCTCAACGTTAATGATATTCACTTCAAGTTGATGTTTGGAGAACGTATTGAAAAAAACTGCATATCCAGGTTCATTACAATTTTACTATCATCATTTGCTTTGTATCAGCTCATCATGGGTTGATTTATGAACAACAGGATTTTCCCATGTTTGTTTTGCAATTAGTTTTATAACGTCAATCTGAGCTGAACATCTGGTGCCCAAAAACTTGTAAAGCAAGATCTTCCATCTAGCAGGATTGCGGCTGAAAACTAAAAGATCTTAGATTTTCATTTATTTATTACAATGATCAATGAAACTAATAAATAAAAAATTTAATATTGATAAAAGAAAGCAACACCAGACTTTCATTTGCTGGCAGCCAAAGTAGTATCATAAAAATAGTTTTAAAAGAGTTTACTATTGGTACATCAATTACATCATGTGCTAATTTATTCTAACAGTTTGCAACATGGTTTTTAAAAATGTGCTGACATTTTAGGTAAACTTTGATTAGTTGGGATTTTAGACAGGTCATTTTTAACTACATGCTGAGTTTGATGAGAAAACATAAATGCACGGACATTGTTTAACTCGGTTTTAAACAACTTTTTTCTTCAACAACGGTTCTTTGTGACAAGACCTGATGGTTATATTGTAGTTTTAAATAAATTATTTCTTAAAAAATTTATTAAAGAAATAAACTATTTAAAACTTTAATTCTTTGGTAATATAAACAAAGCAAGTTTTTTGCTATGCACATCACCAAGTAAATTTATTTTATGCCTCATCAATAAAAACATTTTTTATTTTTTTTCAATTAAAATCTCATAATGATTTTTTTTATCTTCTGGTGCCTTTAATATCTTGGTGCTCAAGGCAGGTGGTATAGTTTTAAAATTGTACACTAATATACACTAAATAAATTTAGGAAAAAAAGAAAAAAAGTTTTTTTGAGGTATTATAAATTAACATATACTTATTTTTACATAAAATAAGTCTATTTTTTATATAATTTTAATAAAATAAAATCAATTTTTATATAATTATTCTTATAAATTTATATATTTTCACATTCTCAAGAAAAAAAATAAGTATTTAATAAAAATTTTGTGCCTGGATGAAAATCACCTATTCTACCCGCCTTCAGCCGGGCCTAGATCTTAGATTAATAAACATAGGATCACATATAAAATCATAAAAAAATATACAAAAAAAAAAAGATTTTACAGACCAATCAATGCAACAAAATGTACAAATGAGTATACAAAGATTATCAATTCAAACTTAAAAAGCTTGAATTGATTATCTCAATTTTTACTTTATATATTATGTTTTAATAGATACAAAATATGCAAATGTATAATTGTGTTAGATTATTTCCTGCACTTATACCATTCTTTTTGTTATTTCCATAATAAAGTACAGTTCTGAAACTCAGTTTAATGATTATGAGTAGCCAAGCTAGTATTAAAGTTTCTTGAACTCTGTAATATCTGTCAATAAGGATATAAGTAACTTTTCATTTTTTAAATTTTGAAATTTTTAAAATTCACCAGACCTACTTGCTCTTTGTAAGACTAATTTAAATTGCAAGTTGGGATATCAGTGTCGATGGCAACTACCTTTTAATATACAAAGACCTAGACATTTTCTTACCAATTTACCTAGTTATCTTAAAATCAAGTTTTTATGTCTTTTTTAGTTTCATTTTAGCACCAAACCAATTTTTTTCGTTTATTATTGTTCTTCTTCTTTTCAGCACTCAATGCTGTTTTTGATCAAACTTATCATGCCTTTTCTTTTTACCCATTCTAATTGCTTATCAGATTGAATAGCTCTAGTAACATTGACCCTACTGCCACTAAAATTTAAAATTATTTCCTTTCTCAATCTTTTAATGAATTAACTTTTTTTGAGGAACATAGAACTATGTTCCTCATAGACCTGCCTAGACAACTTTGTCTAGGCGGTTATTTGACACATTTCAGCCGGGTGAATTTTTTTTAATAAATTGAAACAAAATCATTATCTATTCTAATTTTTGTATTAATATATTTTTCATTTTGTAATGAACTCAAAACATTTTTCATGTTAATATCCAACAAAATTAAGATAAATAACTAGGTTTTTATAAATGATAAGCCTGAATTCTGTTAAACAGATTTTATAAAACTCAACTAATAGTTGAGTTATACATAATCTATTTAACAGAATCCAATTAATTATTTACAAAACAAAGAAAATTTATAGTTGTATTTAGATGTACTAAGTTTTACAATTAAAGCTTTTATTAGGAAATCATTATTAAGGCAAATTTTACAGAACTCATTTTTATTAAAAAAACAATATCAATGTCCATATATAAACTGTTTCCTGGTTTTTTGTAGGTTAATGTTTTTATTAAATGAATAATTTTGTAAAATTAAAATTGATTTGATGTTGGAAAAATTTTAACAGTTCTATTTATTTTTAACTTAAATTAAATTATTTTTACTAATATTAAATTTTAACAATTCTATTTATTTTAACATTAAATCACTTTTATTGTTGAGTGGAAACTCAAACAAGTTCAACAAGTAACCTATATTTAAGTTAAGTTCAAATAAGTTTAAACAAGAATCGTAAATCATTTTTTTATGAGTTTTTATCAATAGTTAATAAATACCTTTAATAAATGTTAATACGCAAATATAAAATATGTTAATAAATCTTAATAGATATAAACCTTTTTAAATCAATAAAGTCATTTTGCACAAACGTATAACGTATATGTGCATAACAATTTATGTACAGAAAAAAAAATGTAAAAAAAATTTTAAACACCATAACACAAACTCACCCAAAGGCACACTGCCGTTTGAGTAGACTTCTTCGCTTGTAACGTCATCGTCTATTGGTTCACTTGTTGATATATTAGCTGACGTGTTTCTCTTCATATGTGTTTCTGGAAAAAGAATAGGGTAGCCTTGAGTGGTATCGTAGTCCTCTGAGGAGGACGAGTTAGCACCTGCATTATTTTTTACTGGCGGTTTTGGTTCCACTTTGCTACTTGATTTTGTAGTACCTAAAAAAACTTATACTAAAAAAAGACGAAAGACTTTCGCTTTCATTTTCTCTAACATCGTGTAATTGTCGGAATTCTTATTTCAGGTTATTTGTATATAAATTAATACTAGTAATTAGTATTTGAAAAGATCTCAAAAACCTTGTCGCTAAAACCACTTTAAAACATAAAATACACAAAAAATACATGCAATTTAAAACAATGTAAAAAAGTACAACCAAAACTAAATCTGAAAACAATTTAAAATTTTAAAGTCTTATTAGTATGTTTTCTTTTGTTATTTTCAATTAAATTATTTAAAAAATTTCTTAAAATAAAGTTTCTTACCATTTTCGTCCTCGACAAGGTTTTTTTTAATCGCTTTTTCTTTAATCTCTTTGTGAATTTTTTTCGTCAAAGATTCTTGAATTAAAACAAAAACCAAACATACACTCATTACGCCTAGATGACGCATTTTATTTATAAGGTATTCGATTAATCAAACTTATATTTTCATAGTCATGATTATTCTTAAGATGCCATACAAAGCAACGTTTTTTGTTTTCTTGCGAATGCAGTGGTGCGTGCAAGAAACACTGTCTTACTTGGCTTTGGTTAAAGCAACGTCGTTTCCAAGATATTTTGTAAATATGTTCAGATAAAACTATATAGTTCCCAGTTTATCTCTTCAATACTATATAATACGAAACCTCGAACCGCTGTTTTGTCGCAAATAATTTTTGTCTTGTCATTTTCAATACTTTATTTTTAAAATAAAACAATAATTACTTTATGCACATCTTTTCAGATGGATACGCCTTGAAAAATGATTAATAAAACCCGTGTTTTTACAAAATATTTATAACAGTGTTAAATACATATTTTTAAAAAATATTATTAATATTATAGTTTATAAAATAAAAAATCATTCACATAAATTTTGCAAAGCGAAAAAAGTCGGTTTAACAGCAAAGTACGAAACTTTACTGTTAAACCAACGTTCAAAACTTTATTTGTATAATTTGCATTAGTTGCAAACAATCCAGTTGTTTAATTAGTATTAAATGTATACATTTAAAAAGTAATAAAAAGAAATAGAATTTAAAAAGTAATAAAAAGAACTCATACGTATGAGTTCTTTTTATTATTTTTTATACCTTTTAATTTTGTTTTTTTTTAATTTTTATTCAATATATTAGTATTTATTTAATATATATTTTTATCTTTATAACTTGTTATTGATGATTACTGTTCTCTCGACCTCTAAAATTTGTTGCGTTCATTTATAAAATGTTTATTTGTAGAAATTAAGTGACTTTTTTCGTACAAATTTAGTGACTTTATATTTTACATGAGTAAAGTCGAGTTTTATCATGGTTATTAACGGAATTGTTTAATCATTAAGTATTTTGTTAAAAGGATCCATCTAATTAACTTCTACCGCCTTTTTCAAATATTGTGTGTTATCGTATTTTGAGTTTTTGTAAGTTTTGAGTATTGTGTGTTAATTATCTTCTCGAGTATTTTGAGCATTTTTAATAATGTATGTTAACTAACTTCTATTGCTTTTTTTGAGTATTAAGTGTAATTTAAACTTAAAAATTATTTCTTAACATCAGCACCATAGTCCTTAACATCTATCAATTGAGTTTCGTTTGGAATTTCATATAGGGTGTTATAAATTGCACAAATTCTCAGTTTTTTCTGCTGTTATTTTTAATAAAATTTATCCAAATCTTCTGTTTTAATAAACTAATACTCTTTTGTTTGTTTTAATTTTATAAATTTCTTGACATTTGTAAATATTAAAAGTTTTATACTTTTAATAAACTATAATAAAGAATATAAACACCATATCAATAAAAATAAAAATAACAACAACAACAACAAAAAAAAAAAAAAGCAGACAAGTTTAAATAAAAACTTGGCATCTGATATAAGATCGAATGATTTTGTCGCCAGAGCCATATAACATAAAAATAATTATATAACTTAAGCCATCAATAAATATGTATATAAATAAAAAATGACAAAACACAAAAACACAAGTTGTTTATAAAAGCGTGTTTATAAAAATTTCTTATTTATAAAATTATTTCAAAATACTTTTATTAAAGAGAATGAATTCTTTTAATTTTTTTTTTTAAAGTCAGGTAAAGTAATTGATAAATCAAAATTAGGTAAAATTATTTTGTTCGAGAGATTAGGTGCACGATAAGTCATACAGAACTGATTGAACTTTGTTCAACAAATGGGTTTTAGAGTAAATTATCATTTAGTAGCGTATACTTATTTTTTTGTTATAAGGTAAGAAAATCTTTAAAAATGTGTAATAACGGATTCATTTTACATTGAAACATAAAACAAAATTTTATGTACATTCGCTTCATAAATATTAAGTGCTTTAATATCTTTAAATAAACAACTTTGTATACGAAAGACGATTTTCAAAACAAACTAAGCGCATTGCATGTTTCTGGCGATGATAGCGTGCAATGTTTCTGGCGATAAAAATGTGAAAGAGTGCGTAAATCACATTTGCTTGTACTTCCCTCAGCAATATTTACATAGTTAGTATAACTATGTAGAAATAAGTAGGGGAGATTGGGGCAAGGTGACGAGCGGGGCAAGATGAAAAATGTCATTAATCTTCAGTTTTTCACTAGGTGGCAGCACTAATCGGACACTACTAACTCTCCTAAAAGCTGTTTGTTAAAAAATAGTTTAATGGCGCTGAAATCGCCATTTTTGTATTAGTTGTGAAGCTTTGATTATTTACTGATGACACGTTATAACTTTTATGCATGCTTAAATAAGCTCTGCTGCCGAAACAGGTTAGATATTTTGTCTATCGTTCATATTTTAAACTTAACTAATTTTAATACTATCTATTACCATGAATAAATGTTAATTAATTGCCTTCCTTCATGGCAATAAAAACGAATATTCAAAAACAGCCTGTTCGGGGCAAGAGGACGGGTACAAGGTGACGAGCTTGTGTTTAGCGAAAATGACTTTGCTGCTCCAAAAACTACCCACCATGATGTTGTTGGTGATGAAACTGAGAATAATAGTGCTAATTTTCAGACCCTTACAGTTGGAAAAAAAAATTATAAACCCTCCAGAAGAACCAAAACTTATTGCAAATGCTGAATCCGATGCGCCAAAAAAGCCTGTCAGTATTTTTGATTTAAAACGATTGCCTAAAGCAAAACGATAGCTGCAAAACTTACTATTTGTTAAACAATGTAACATAATAAAAAAATAAATGTGTTCAACTATTTTTTTCAGTGTTGTCATCTTATCCCAAGGTCAAATCATCTTACCCCGGTACTGGGGCAAGATGAAAATTTGATATGGTTGTGGAAAAATGAAATTATCCTTTATTTCTTTCATTTAAATAATTAAATATTAATATATTTTATGCCACAAACGATTAATCTAACAGTTCATGTAAAATTAATTTTACCATCCTTAAAAATAAAGTAATAAACAACTTAAATTGTTAACGTAGTCATCTTGCCCCGGTCTCCCCTAATAGAGTTGGATTAAAATATTTTTTGTTCAAATAATTTCTTGACAATATTTTATGGTCAACGTTGTCGAAAGCCTTCGAAAGATCAAGAAAGACTCCTTACGTATATTTTTTTTTTTTCGAAAGATTCTGAGATTTTCCTAACAAACTGAATAATTGCGTGCTCAGTCGAAATATTTTTTTAGAGCCAAACCGTTTGGTATATAGTATATTATTTTGGTCAAGATATTTAAATATTTTATTATATATTAATCTTTCTAATAATTTTGTAAAAGTTGAAAGAGCCGAAATTGGGTGATAGTTGTTAATGTTTGTTAATAATAAATAAGATAATAAATAATAAATAATAAGTAATAATAAACAAGATAAATAATAATATTTGTTAATAAATCTTTGATTTATTAAGGAATTTTTAACATGTACTTTCGTTAAACAACTCTCTACAGTGTTGTTTTAACAGTACAAAGTTTCTTAAAAAAAACTTTTTTATTTTTTATTTTTTATGAAACCTTTAAATTTTAAAAACTATTTACATTGTAAGATTGTGTATTTGACGATTGCTTAGGGTAAGGCTTCGTCGATTTGACGATTGCGTAGGGTAAGAGTTCGTCATGTTTTACTTTAACAAAATGAATTTGCATATAAATAAATAAACTTTTCTAGTTTAAAAGCATTTTTTTATTAATTAGGGTCTCCGCTTTGTTAATGTATTGAATAAAAATAAATTCTAAAGTTACTTTAGCGTAGAACTTGATTTTTTCATTATCAAGTCATGAGGGGCGAATTCGTCAGTACAACTAAACTAATTGAAAAATATGTCACTTGGGCAATAGACAAAAGTTCTTACTTGTGGTAAAGACAGCTTACCTAGGAGAAAAAAAAACTTTGATATAAAGCATTATTTTTGGAGTAATAGTAGGAGGATTTCCAAAATCTAGAACAGTAAACCCCTAAGTGATTTAGATGGAACTACTAATAGCTACAGATAGAATTACCCTCAGATAACGAAGAGATAAAATTACTGAAAGTCAGTTTCCTGATTTCTAAAACATCTAAAAGGATGTTATTTGTTAAACTTTTTCTAGAAAATATCAAATAATGATTTTGGCATAAATAAAAACCGTCTAACCACAAAATAATACGTTTAAGTAATAATAAAAATTATACCACTATGACTATTTAAAAACTTACAAGATAATTTATATGTCCTTCGCACACATTTTCCATATGTATCAACTCTAAAACATCCTACACATGCCAACTTAAACATTTAAGCCAGTCTTCGTTGCTTCTCCCCAATCTACACAAACACAACAAAAGTCTTTATTAGTGTTATTTTTTAGAAAAAAAACACTAGATGAACTTGGGTGATCAGAATCAGCTAAAAAATAAGTCTTTTTTATTTTTTTTGACTGATTTTTTTTTTTTTTTTTGACTTCTGTTTAACACTGACCACATTTTTTATTGGAGCCTTTTTAGCAGGAGGCTCTTTTATAAACTTAACATTATCTGGTAATGTAGTAAGAACAATATGGCGTTTTGAGTAAGTAGGTTTGCTGTTTTCTGGAAAAAATAGTCCTTAAAACAGATAAATTTGGGTCTCGTAGATAAACTTTTGTTTAATAATTATCACTTTTTTATTGTATTCGAAGTATTTCTTAGGGAATGCAAACCGCAATGGTAAAACGCATTAACAATCAATTCTCTTTTTGTAAGTATGTTGGGCCATATTTTGTTAACAATAACGTGAAAGTTGCAATATATTGTTAAAAATAATGTGAAAGTTTCAACGAGGCATAGAAGTATTATCGTTTTCAGCTAAGCAATTAAACAAGACCTAAGACCACTTATGTTTAACTACATTATTAACATGTTTGTCAAGTGGTCGAAGGCGATGTGTACTATAAGGTGGAATGCATATTATTTCAATATCCATCTCTATTGCTAATTAAATTGCTTCAAAAATTAATCATCAAAAAAATAAATAGTACTTTTTTCGCATCCACTTTTGTAAGAAACTCATTAGAATGATGTAAAAAAAGTC